CGTAGCTTTCTAACGAAACATTGCCTGAAAAACGTCTCAAAATGCACAAAAACTGCATCCAGAAATCAAATTGCCTAGTTTCTCATGATAATTTTCGTGTTCAGACATTCTAGAATGACTCATATGTCCCATGCACTTTTTGCAGTACACATAACTCTCGGATGAAATCCGAAGTTTCCACATTTTTTAAATGTGAAATAGCAGATTAGGAAGTTTTTACTAATAAAAAGTTGAAAAGTATTATTTTTAAATTGAATACAAAAATTAAAATATTTCACAATGATTGAAAAACAAAAAACATCAGGTAACATTTATTTTGTTACTAAACTGATTTCTTTGGTGATTTCAGGCGTCAGATCATATGAACCAACCAATTTCAGAAAATGTTAAAGTGCTTCCTCGTGTTGTAAAATGACGGACTTCGCTAACTTTTTCCCTTATCGTATCGAAAAAGAAAGTTTAACAAATTGTTGCATCTTCAAAAATACTACAAGCTCCTCCGCCACCAGATATAACATCATTATAGTTCTATCTATGAAATAATCGTTAACGATTGAGATTCCCAAAGAAATCAGTGTAGTGAAAAAAAGTAAACTTTACTTGATGATTTTTTCCAACCATGGTGAAATATCTAAACTTTGAGGTAAGTTAGGCTATTTTTTCTGAAATTTTTTGAATTTCGAAAAACGTTTTAGTCGCTTTAGAGTACCTAATCAATTCTGGTCAAAATTGCGTTTGTTTAACAACGTTGACGAGCGTGACTGTCTCTGGTAGTAAAACTAATGTCCGCATGAGCAGTAAAAAATACAGTTTTAAATGTTTTTCACACAGGTCATGTAATTCAACTTGTCAAAATCTTTCCATTTCATATACACAGAAATCAATCGAAACCGATAAATGTTTTGCGGAAAAAATTTACATTCAGAGATCGTTTCTTATCAAGCAAACAAAAACATGAATATTCTTTGTAATAGTTGCAATTCCAGACAGCTGATATATTCATCTGTCAGAATTTATTTGGATTGTTTTTCATGCTAAACAAAGTATAATTATACAAAATGGCAAAGAAAACAGAATTAGATTTGAATGTTAACAAGAAACAACAGGATCGCGTCGAGTGTATTTCCAATTAAAGATTTTCTTGTGGAAATTGAAGAAAACTTCGGATTATATAAAATGTTATTCGAAGCAATAGAATGAATGCTGCTGAAGTCCTTCAAAATCTACTTCATTCATTTCATACAGTACATTTCCCGGCGATGACTTTAATCCCAAGAAGTGAAATTCTTTATAATATTAAGAAGTAACATTAGGGAGTAGATACAAATTTTTTCTGTCCGCATTAGCTATAAGTAGAATGTAAATTCAATTGACAAGTATATTTACATAGACTAGTACAAACGTTATTATGTAATCTTCAGCATTCTAAAATTCATTCCATTATCTCGACAGAGAAATAGGAAGAACACACCTGAAGGTGTCGACGCACTAATAATAGTAATTGTCGATCATTATGCATTTTATACAAAAAAAAGGTTCATGAGCTATTGAATGTATCGCAGCCATTAGAATCGCTTTCTCTTCTTTTTCCGAAGCAAATCACACCATTAGGAACATGATGCCTCTTGTCTCTTTCTCGTTCTCCTCATCACTTACAGAAAAAGTGCTCGAGTCATTTTCAATTAGCAAAATTCGGTGCATTCTCTAACAGCTTTCTTTCTTCCTTATGGACCTATATTTATATTATCTTTATAATAATGATATTAAATTTGATTCTCGATTCGACTTTAAAGTAAGTCACTGAACCCAGAAATCGTTGTGATCTATCGATCACGCGATGCGTTGAGTTAATTCCTTCAAGGTCTCTCGTAAATAAGACAGAAGATGCTGAGATATATACATGATGAAATTAATCATAGTCCCATGACAAAAGAACTGCTTGTTGTCATCATCATCATCGAACCGAATTTTTGAGCGAACAACAGCAGCAGCAGCAGCAGCGACGATACTAGTAGAATGATAATGAAACAACAACAACAGAAAAAAAGAGCGCTTTCCAATCTCTTCTTCGTCTTGTCCGGAAAAGAATAACGATCGATGCTAAACATACGAAATAAGCTCACTTATCAAAGAGAATATTTTAACTATTGTTCCGATTATGGTTTATAGTAAAGCTCGTTGGAAATGGCATGAATGTTTGCAAGTAATATTTTTAAATCGAGATATTGAATTAGCAGAGAAAAAAAGTCCAGTAATAAATTATTTATTCATTCATTGTTATTTTCTTTTCAAGGCTCGCGACGAAATTACCAGTAATGATTCTGAATGTGACAATGAAGATTTTACCGACAATGACTGCATCTCAACACATCAGCAAGGTAAAACGCTCATCTTATATGAATACCTTTAATGAACATAATGTCATCGATCATTATTTACGATGAGAAGACACACCAAAAATAGAAACATTAGGAAAAACAAAAAAATGTTAAATACATGCCGCTAAAGAACAGAGAAAGAATATTTGTTAGAAAAGAAGCCTCTATTTATCTATATCTCATGGCTAATAATAGGAGTAAGAGAATTTTCTTAACTGTAGGTTTGAATGATGAAACCAACGAAACAAATTCTTCTATTTCAAATGATGATCTTTTTAGCAAACAACAAAAATTAAAAGTAATTATATTATTAATTGAAAAGGCGGAAAAAAAACATTTTTTTCTTCTTCTTTAGGAACAAGCAAAAGTTGCTCTTGTACTCGGCGCTAAAATGGCTCGAATGCAAGTAGAAATTGAACGAGAAGGTTTGGAAAAGAAACGATCATCGTTTTACGATATTGTAAGTATGAATGAAGAAAATTTAAAATATTGATTTTTATATTAAAGATTGGTGTTGATACAAATGGCGATCGACAATTAACAACCGATTTAGTTCGAAAAATGAATATGGACCAATTGCAAATGATGATCAATGATCTCTATAGTCGAATTGAAGGTAACTTTTGTAGGTAACTCTGTTATCAATGATCTTATATCTTGTATTTTGTTTTCAAGAGAACAATAATCAATTAGTAAATCTTTTAATCGAACGAGATTCATTGAGTATGGAACAAGATTCAATACTTGTTGACATTGAAGATCTATCGAAGTAAATGAAATAAATTGAAATTACTTTCAATATCCTGAATTTCTTGATTTCAGACGATTGGACGAACTTGAAATTAATCTACCAAAACAGTCGCCCTCCAATGAACAAACAGAATCTATTTATGCGGCTAAAAGTCTTGCACCAGATGTTCCGAAAAAATCTATTTTTCAATATTTTTTCCGAAAGACAATGTTTACTTAATTTCACAACATATGTTGCTCTCTCTATTTATATTTTTCTTATGTTAATTATTCTGAGTCACACTGGAAAATACTATATTCTGTCTTGAGTGAAAATAAAAAATCTAACGAGTTCGGAAATGAATTTTTATTTTCATCAGGTGCATTGGGTGAAGACTGCACTAGTAGACAAGCGATATGTAAATTCGACAAGGTCTATTGAACCACAATACAGAGAGAAAATAAATTCGGTTGCTTCGCTCGAAGGATAATCTTTAATCGAATTTCCGATGTGGCGTTCCCAGTAACAGCGGTCGCTACATTTGAGTCTAGTTGACATTCTTGTTTGATTAGAGAAAAAAATATGAACGATGTTCTTTTCTTTTTTTATTTTGTTATTCTCATGCTGCTGATGATGAGCATAAAAAATTGAATAGAACGTGAAAAAAAATAGGTTTGTAACACGTCTAAACCATTTTACGTAACAATTGATTTATGTATTGTTCACGATTACCGAAGTCACCACCATCAGCAAAGTGATTGGCTTTCTTACGCCAGCCACCTATTGAACAAAACGAAAAATATCAATAAAACGCTTTTTTCTTGCAATCAATTAAATTCTTACCTTTTGGATTGTTTAATTTAAATGGCCAAAGAAAGTTCGTTGCCTTTTTGAAGTTGTCTCCGACAGTGACTATTTCATGAACAAGATCTTCCATACAAATAATATCGCATTTACCGAGAGTCTTTTCAATGACAGTATTGTCGGATAAGGGTATACGTTGTTTATTGATTTTACCGAAACCACGTTTATAAACAAGTTCGCGAACCGATTTCAAATTTGGATAACCCCAAGCGATATAAGGTTCAGCAATACGTAACATTTGAATAGTAGCTTTGTTGAGTTTAACAAAGATACCATTATTAATTTGACGTAAACGAAACAAACGTAAAACTTGTTTTACACGTGGATGTACACCGCGAATACTAAATAGAAGTTTATTGTTATTATTTTTCGAATTCATGAAACTTAAGTTCAACATACCCACGAATACGAATAACAAAAGCAAGTGCTGGTTCGGCTTCAACATGATAATTTTGACGGACTTTAGCTGATCGTTTAAGACGAATTGAATCGCGTTCTTTCTTACGATATTCACTAACGTATTGTTCGGCTCGTTTGAATATAACTAAACGTTTGAATTTCTTATTCTAGAATGACATGATTTTGTTAAATGAAGATAGAATGAAATGAATATAATTTACTTTTGTAGCTTGTACTTGAGAACGAAGACGTTTTGCTTTAATATCAGCATAAAGTTTGCGTTTCTTTAATAAAACTTCAGGCACTTTTGGAATGGCCGTTTTTGTTGCTGTTGTGTCCATCTTTTTGACGCTAAACAATAGAATTAAATAACGAATTTAGTAAGCTCCATCGAAACTTACGTTTCAGGCATTCTGAAGATTAATTTCGAAAACGATGGATCTAAAACAATCAAATATTCATAAGTTTACTCTCAATTCACTAGCTATCTCATATGGAGGAGTTGTTTTCTTTTCTCTTTTTTTGAGTCCATGTTTTCCAAAGTAATACAATCCACCAATCAAAATCGATCTTCCATGAACAGGGTAAAAGAATTTCCGAGAATATCTAGAAAAATTTTCTTCAATTAGGTTTAAGCTATTCAAGATAATATTTAAGAATTTTTAATGTTTGGATTGCAACCACTTTCTTCTTATTGGCACTAAACCATTGAACAATGAGTCATCGATGGTCAGTGCTGTTGCTGTTGAGTACGACGATCAATTCACTTTTTAAATCTCCTTTCGATCAAATTTCTAGATGGAAGAAGAAATGGAAGCACCCATGACTGTTGAAGCTAACACAGAAGAAATGGAAACACCTATGACTGTTGAACCGTCTGCTGAACCTAAAAAAGAAGAAAAAGGTTATCTAGCACGAGATGAATATACATCCGAGCGGTTTAAACTTGAAATAAATAATCTACCGAAATATTTTGGATTTGGTGTAAGTCGAAGTTTGTTTATCGTCTTGAATAAAATTATTTCTTTGTTTTTTTCTTTTGTTAATAATTAGGATTTAAAGAAAAAATTGAAACAATTGGGTGTTAATTTTGTAAAAATAAAAGTACCAAAAACACCTAACCATGCTTATGTTAATTTTCGGTAAAAATGAAATCCTTTATAACTAGAGATTTTATTTTATTTTCTCTTCTAGAAATGAAGAAGATAAAGAAAAAGGTTTGAAATTACTCACTGGATGGTCCTTTCGAGGAAATCGAATTGAAGTATCGGTAAGTTGAATTTATCTTTTTCTATAAAAATTATCAAGGACGCTTGTCGAACGTTTTAGCACGCTAAACCAGCTAAAGATATACTGTTTCGAAACGGCAAACCAAAAACAAGTAAGTGAATATAATTCTTAAAAATCTTCATCTCGTACATTAGCTAAATAGATGATAATAAACGTGAACATCCTGCAGAGAATCCAGCCGATGCTGATTTATCCGATGAAGTCAAGTATGAATTAAAATAATTTTGACCGCCGACATGTAATTAGATTTTCATAATTTAGAATTCAAAACTCAGCGACACCATTATGGAATCTTTCTTATGAAGAACAATTAACAAAAAAATCAACAATAGTTCAAGAATTCCTTAGAGGACTTGAACAAAAAATTAAAGAAACCAGGTAGAAAAAAATCAACAGTGATTTTAATTGAAATAAATAGCGGCTGCTGATTTATTTCTTCTTAGTTCAAAAACTGTAACCATTCCATTTGAAGGAATAAAACCTTCAGTAAGTATCAATTTAATTTCCTTTGTACAAATTGAAATATGAACATGTTTTAGCCTGTTATTGATGGATATCGAAATAAATGTGAATTTTCATGTGGTAAAGGAAACAATAGCGACGGTAAAATTTGAAGAAAAACAAAATTCTTTGCAATTCTCATGATTTTCTTCTTCTAGATAAAATGGTTGGTTTCCGTTATGGTAAAGAATATACATATATAGATGGTAGAAAAAGACAAATTGTTACTTTTTACAGGAGAATATCGTTTTGGTATTGATCGAGTCGGAAGTCCGAGTGTTTGTAAAAATGTATCTGATGAAATGAAACTTGTTGTACAAGTAAGAAATGACTATTCTTTTTTTAAATTTCGAAACAAGACAATTTTGTTTGTTTCAGCATTTTCAAGATTATATTCGATCTCGTACATCTTCATGGTATTCAGGTGAAACTCATATTGGTTGTTGGCGACAATTAACCGTACGAACAAGTCGATTAAATCATATATTGATTATGATTTCATTTTGCCAAGGCCAACTATCGCCTGTTTGTAGAAAATAAAATCGAAGTGATAATAATGCATAAGTAAAGGTTTTTATTTAGGAAGAAATTGAAGAAGAAAAGAAAACTTTCTTAAATTATTTTACACAAGGTGCTGGAAGTATTTGTAAAGTTACAAGTATTATTTTCAATGTGGAAAAAAATAAGTAAGACAAAAATATCCATGTGAAGTTTTATTCTTCAAATTTTTATAGAGCTGGAAATGAACTTATTCAAAGTGAACTTCTACTCGGTGACTCGGTAAGAATTAGTGACTTGCGATTTTGTGTTTCTATTCATAGGAATCCTGTGTTTTTTTCAGTATATTGTTGAAAAATTATTTGATTTTCAATTTCATGTATCGGCTAAAGCATTTTTTCAAGGTAAATTAATGTTTTAAAATGCAAGTGAATATTTTCAACGGTGACGAGCTTCATTTTAGCTAATACACAAGGTGCTGAAGTTTTATATTCATTGATCAAGGATTCCATGAAATTAGACAATGAAACTGTTCTACTTGATATATGTTGTGGAACAGGAACAATTGGTATTACATTATCAAATGTAATTAGAAAAACGGACTTTCTAAGACGAAATCATAGATTGTGTATTTTAGAGTGTAAAAGAAGTAGTTGGAATTGAAATGATTAAAGATGCTGTTGAAGATGCAAAACGTAATGCGAAATTAAACAGTAAGCGAAGAATATTTTTCTTAATGTCGATACTTAACAAAATATCATTTAGACATTAATAATATTGAATTTATTGCTGAAAAAATCGAAAATGTGATTAATAAATTAGTAAAGAAATACAATCAACATCGACTTGTTGCTATTCTCGATCCACCACGTGCTGGTGTTCGTACGTAAAATTTCTGTTTTTTAACTGAAAAATGCATTTTATTTCTGTTCTTCATAGATCGAAGAGTAATTCAAACATTACGATCTGCTGAAAATATCAAAGCCTTGGGTTATATCGCATGTAATCCGCAATTAGCAACGCATAATCTTGTTGAGTAAGACTTTCTTGTGCTTTGTCAAGACTTTTTCATTAGCTTTATTTTCTAGTCTAACTCGTCCGCGATCACGAAATTATCAAGGTGAACCGTTTGAAGCCGTAACAACAACAGCTGTTGATTTATTTCCGCATACGCCTCATTATGAACTTTTCATCTTATTTCAACGATGATCAGTTTCATTGTTTTTCTGTGTTATAAATAAACTCGATGATCTTGCGTCGAACAAAAATGAAATTCAAATTCAGAAAGAAATCATTTTTTTATTTTATTTGTTAACATGAAGAACCCGTTTCAATCATAGACAATACAATACAAGAGTAGAAGTAGATAAATGAAAAAGAATTTACAAGAGTTAAACTACTCGTACACAACATTAAACAGTCACGAATATTTTTTCGAAAATTTTGGTACATAATAAATCTATACCTATTTCATTCATAATCTTTTCACCAGGGTTTTTATGAACCGAAACCATAGAGTGTACGACCTTGACGTTTAAGAGCATAGACAACATCCATAGCTGTAACTGTTTTGCGTTTAGCATGTTCAGTATATGTTACAGCATCACGAATAACATTTTCCAAGAATATTTTCAATACGCCACGTACTTCTTCATAGATCAAACCACTGATACGTTTGACACCACCACGTCGAGCCAAACGACGAATAGCTGGTTTAGTAATACCTACATAAAAACAAAAGTAAAACATTTTTTATTCCAAAAACCTCTCACTAATGACATCTATAGACGACTGATTACTCAAACCCAAAAACTTACCTTGAATGTTGTCTCGAAGTACTTTACGATGGCGCTTGGCACCACCTTTACCAAGACCTTTTCCACCTGAATGAAACAAAAAGAAATATAAATAATGTTTTTCGTCTTCGCGAAAAGATCATTTACCTTTGCCACGTCCAGACATGATCGAAGTTCAATCGAAAGAAAAAATCTAAAATGACATCGAACAGAGAATTTGCCATCCTATTTATACACAATAATAAATCGAAAGGCAATTCCGATTGGTTGTGTGTCAAAAAAAAATTGTCCTTCATATTGATGCTTGAATCACAAAACACGAAGAAACCAAATCTTTATTCTTACGCCATCTTTTAGGTTGTTTTAATATATATTATATATATATATATACGTATATGGATTCAATTACATATTTTGTTACATAAAAAAACAAAACAAACTCTGCTATATGTCGGAAGAAAGATTTCCATCATTCAGGAAAACAAAACAAAAAAGAAAACTGTACAGTTAGTAAAGAAAAACGAATCTGAACACATTTGTTATATATATATATATATATAAAGTGATAAAATAATGGACTAATCTACATTAGGCAAAAAAACAAAAACACACCACACTACTATACACGCAATATTTCGAGAAAATTGTTAAAACAAATTCCGATCCAATCCGGTTGGGTTGTACTCCATTGTACCTGATTGATCTCGCCTTCGGCTGTATATGCAAGAATAGGATCTTCGATAGCTCGTGGCATTTGTTGAATATCCCAAATTAAAGCTTGACGATCGTCGCCTAGAAAACAAAACAGCTTCTAATGTGTTGCTTTCCAAACGAATTTCTCTACAAACCAGCAGTACAAATATGACATGCAGAATGAGGCGCCCAGGCAATACCATTGACGCCTGATCGATGATTGTTAAGACGTGCAACTGGTGTACATGGTATTCGAACATCAAGAATAATAATTTCCATTGAATCAATAGCAAATGTTGCTAAATAATTTGGATCTTGTTTATTCCATGCAAGGCGTAATAGAGAATGATGTTGTGGATCTTCGTAAATAATCGTCGAATGTTCCAAATGACGTAAATCGAACATTCGAACTGAACCATCAGCACCCACTGATGCAAACATATCACGACCGCCGCCACCACGGCTAAACGCGATATCATAAACTTCTTTATCATGAGCGATTAATTGAGTACGAACATGTCCGCTAACTGGATTTGTTCGTCCAATGGCTTGTCCGGTCTGAAGATATTCAAGAGAATTTTCTTAGGTTGATTTTAAAAAATTGATAGCTTACTTCCAGACCCCATATTGTACATGTTGTATCAATACTTGATGTGCCGATTAGATTCGGATCAACTTCATTCCAATCGAATGAAGTTAATGGAGCACAAAAATCGGAATTTTTATTCTAAATAAAAATCAAAAAATAGACGAACTTTTTCTTTCTCTTTAAATCCTACTTATTTCAAATGGTGCATAAAAGTCTAGTGTCTGTAAATAGTCATAACAAGAAGAGCCTCATAAACACCTTCTTTTAGTCTCAATCAGTTATTTAGGACTGCTCAAGCAAGAAATTCTTACATTATTAAGTAAACATTCCAGCCGAGTACCACTATCTCCTGTTTGCCATACGCGTAGATAATCGCCACTTGTTGCTAATAAATCCGGAAATGCACCTTTCTAAAAAGAACATTCAAAGAAAGCTAGACCATTTTTCGCTTATGAACGCAATTTTCTTACAGTATCAGGTATCCACATAACTTTTGTTGTTGGATATGGATGATCGAATGTTGATCGAGCAACAAATTCGGATGTGTCTTCATCGAGTGAAACAATTTGCACCTGGAAATATGATTGAAAAATAATCGATCTGAAAAGTATCGAGAAAAGAAAGTTTACTTTATTGTTATATTCTTCGACGAAAGATCCAAGTGCAAGACGAAAACGTTTATCAGGTCTGATCGACCAGTTCATAGCATAAACCATCCATGGTGCTTCGTATTTATAGATTTCTTTTCGTTTGGTTTGTGGAATATTAGCTGACGTAGACGTCATCTAAAACAAATCATCCGTATTTAACACCAATGTTCTTGTTAACAGTCTTGTTTTATTCTTCTTCTTATGTTTTATTTTTTTAAAAACGGAAAAAAAAACAAATTAACTGTTGCTGTTATAATAAAGAAGATGTTTGATTTATTCGGCATTGGCTTCAGCAGTAGCGGCAGCGGCAGCTTCACCTTTAGCTGCTTTTTTACCGCCTTTCTTACCACCACCACCTTCTTTCTTATCACCTGCACCGTCTTTAGCTGCATCAAGATCACCAGGTGCATCTTCTTTGCTTGATCGAGTGTAAATTTCTTGTCGACTATGTTTAACAACAGCTCGAATGAGACCACGACGCACAAGTTCACGGATTATCGAACGAGCAAGAGAACCTCGAACTTTGAAACGTTCGACTATAATGGCCGGTGTGATAAGTTTATATTGAGGCAAATCTTTGACACATTTGTCATACGTTGCTTTGTCGAATAGAACCTAAAAATGAAAATTTTTTAATGTTGTTTGACTATCGATGACACGAAAAGAACTAACCATATTGTTAAGTTTATCGCGAACTTTTCCTTTCGACCATTTCTTCTTTTTAGCTTTCGCTGCGGAACTGGCCGATGCCTCTTTTTCTTTCTTTTTTGGTTGAGCTGCTTTAGCCGGCATTACGAGAAAAGATCTAAAACGAAAGTCGATATGAAGATGAACAATATGTATTGTAAACAGTGAATTAGACAATTGTCTCTGGATTCGTATTCGCCGTCATCTTGTTTATTTCTTCTCATTTATTTCGTGAACCCTCACTTGGAAATGAAGTTTGTTTTTAACGCGAAAATTTTATTTTATTTCAATTTTGAAAATGTTTCTAAATTTTTTTTGATTATTTTGAATAAAATTTAATGGCCGAAATAAAATAACATTTTTTTCTTCGTTAGAAAGTGACATCTGTCCGTAATGGTTTCGATGGAACCAATGAATTTCATGAGAACGTTCTCTATCGTATCACACAGACACAGCGGTTGGATTTTTGTCAGTATTTATTACATATCTAAAGTGCAATAGCGAAGATGACCGTAAGTTTTTATGAAATATTTCTAGCAACAGTAGTGTGTTCAATCTTTACTGTCGTGATTTATATAACTTCTTGGTTAACGTATGAAGAAAATGACGTATGATGATTGCTTCTTCTTCTGTGTTTGAATTCTTAAAAAAATTAATTCGTTGATTTTATTTTGTTTGCAGGAAGAAAAGTTTAACGAGTGCAATTCGTCAAATATGCAAGGACTAGAAAACGATAAACCAATACCTCACGGTGAGCCAAAAGAAATACTCAATTTCGAATCCGAAACACATCTTCTAAGTCCAAATCAACACCCATCGGGTATAATAGTAAATGAAAAATCAGATATATTGTGTTTACAAGATGAAGTCCTACGTTCACAAATTGCTAAAAATCAAGCCGGTGTTTCGGATGCGTCCGATGATCACGAGAACGTTACTACTGAAACTAATACTGTAGATCAATGTGATCCAGTCGTACATGCAGATGCAAGAGCTGCCCGTTTACGGTTATTGATTCGATATGATGGCGAACGAAGTAAATTAATTGTTCAAGTTCTCGATGGTCAAGGTTTGATTCCACCTGAACTGGATTATGCACCTGAAATGTGTCTGAAATTTACATTAGTTGGACCTCATGTGAATGAAACTACTGTAGAAAAACATACAAGAATTTTCGTTGCCAATGATGCTGTTATATGGAAAGAGCCGATGACATTTTGCGTCACATTTGAGAATGCAATCAAACAAAATCTATATATTTTCACAGCTAATCGATCAGATCCTGCAGCATCTTATGACCATGATGTAGGACAGAATTTCTTGACAAAAAACAAAACCCTTAATATTGATTTTTTTAATTAAGATATCAATTCCATTGAGTAAGCTTGCTAGCCAAGATAGTGAAATCAAAGAATGGTAAGGAAGTGTAACACACTATTGAGGAAAGGAAATTATAGTAAAAGAATTTTTCCGGCTCTAAAATATCTCTTCGGGTCAAGTATAGCGGCATAAACTATTTGATCAAATGGGCAGATAATCATTTAAATACTAATTGATATTCTTTTTTTTAGGTTCACCTTGGAAGTCGTTGAGTCATCTTATTAATTTTTATTTTGTTTTATTAATTTTTCTGTGATTATTTTTGATTCATGATATAATTTTCAGCGATGATAAAAATAAAATATTGAATGCCTTCAGATGTAAACAGTAGTTTCTAATCATGTCAGACAGTGAAGAATATGCATCTGCTAAACGATATAAACGAGACGAAACAACAAGTGATCTTGAAACATCACCGATATTGATCGATTCAGATCCAGACAAGTTAGTTTAATTTCATTGAAAACAAAAAGATTCAAAAGAAAAACAAACATTTCATTTTTAGTTCTATTCTCGACACAAAAGTATTATTAACAAATAAAGCCTTTTGTTTATAGTTGTGGTATGAAATCTTTTGTCTTGCGTGTTTTAAACAGATTTTTAATGATCCGATTCATGGTTCAATTGAATTACATTGGCTACTCGTCAAGCTAATTGATACGCCCGAGTTTCAAAGGCTTCGACGTCTTAGACAACTTGGACTAGCATATTATGTTTATCCCGGTGCTTGCCACCAAAGATTTGAACATTCTATTGGGTTCGTTATAAGAAAGATTGTAGCTAAATAAAAGAATTCATTTGTCTGTAGAACATGTTACCTTGCTGGTGAACTATTGACACATCTTTGCCACAAACAACCGGAATTAAATATAACACCGAAAGATATTTTGTGTGTTCAAATGGCTGCTCTTTGCCATGATCTTGGTTAGTTTTATCCATGAAATGTTAATGAGCTATGCTTTTTTTTCTGTAGGCCATGGGCCATTTTCGCATACATTCGAAGATGTTATTGCAATACTCCGACCAGAGTTGCATTGGAAAGTAAGTGACTTTTGTTTTGATAGGATTAGAATCTAATAGTGATCTTCTAGCATGAACATGCGTCAGTTCAAATGTTTGATCATTTAATTGAAAGAAATCGTTTGCTGCCATTTTTTCAACAAGTTGGACTAAAAGACATCGATATTACATTTGTTAAAGAACTCATTCACAGTGAAATCAATGGACAAGACAATACTCAGGTTCGTCTATTATTCAGAATGAACTAAAGTTGATTTTTGTGTAAAGGACGGGATATACTTTTTATTTCTTGATGAGTAGTCTACCACCCTGACTTTGTCTTGGGTTCGATTTTAAATGATTATTTTTTAATTAAAGGTTTGGCCGTACAAAGGACGAGATATCAGCAAATCATTTCTTTACGAGGTATGATAAATTGATTTATTAGTCAATATTATCGATTTGTTTAGATCGTATCGAACAGATTAACTGGTATTGATGTCGATAAATTTGATTATTTTGCGCGTGATTCATATTATTTGGGAACAAAAATTTCATTCGAACATATGCGTTTTATTAAATTCTATCGCGTTATCAAAGTCGATGATGGTAAACGTCATTTGTGTTTGCGTGATAAAGTAAACTGTTCATTATCGAAAAAAACTAAATTTTATAATCGATATTATTTTCTAAAGGAAGTTAAAGCATGTTATGAAATTTATCGAATTCGCGACGATCTCCACCGCCGTGCTTATCAACATCCAGTCGCTAAAGGAATTGAATTGATGTAAAAATAATTTATTTAATAATTTCCATTCCGTGAATTTCTTTTATCTAGGCTTCGAGAAGCATTGATCGCGGCGAATGATTATTTATTCTTTTGCAATGCAGCAGGGTAATTTAACAAAATAGAAGAGTCGTTTATTGTCTTTTTGTAAATTTTCAAGACGATGCGATACTCGCCTGGCGCATATTATCGATGATATGTATACATTTAGTCAAGCTGATGATCATCTCGTCACATTAATAAAACATTCGTATCATCCGAATATGGACAAAGCAAAAGAAATCCTTGAAAAAATTGAACGTCGAGGTAGAATAATTTTTTCGAGCTCACTCTTATGTCAATAATAAAATATTTTTCTAGAAATTTATCGTTATATCGGAAATACGCAAATAAAATTCACTGCAGATTTTCAAAAGGTAAAACAAAATCGAGCTGACTCATTGGTCAACTTTTTTTTCTTTAGAAAGAATGTCAAAATGCTTGTCATGATATTATAAAATATTGTCATTTCGACGAGAGTCAATCGCATATTACAGAAAATGATCTCGTTATACAGGTAAATATTCTTTACAACTACTCCGAACTCCCTTATGGAGACGAGTTTGTTTTTTTAGACAGTTGACTTAACGTGTGGTGATCGTGGCAAAGATCCGATTCAAAACATGTGGTTTTATACAAAAATAACTCCGAATAAAGCAACGAAAATATCAAAAGAACAGGTTCGATTGAGAGAATTCATTTCGAATAAGAATCGATATTTTCCCCCCGTTAATAGGTATCAGCATTTTTACCGCAAACATTTCGTGAACAAGATCTTCGTCTTTATTGTAAAATGCGTGATCCAACTGTTTGTTCAATTGTCCGATGTGCTTTTAAAGAATTTTGTATTGCAAAAGGCTACGCCGTACCCAAGGTATTTTGCGAAGCTTAACTAGTATAACATGAATTTTGTGCGTTTTCATATTTTGATCATTTCTGTTCTCAGTTATTGTTTGTTTTCAAGTTAGACTTTCGTTTAATAAAGTTGAGTTGCTATTTAAGTCAGAACAACAAATGATCGAATTATTGTTTTTGTTTGTATTTATTGTGTTCTTTATTGTTAACATATGAATAAACAATTTAGCCGAGGTATTTGACAAAAAAAAACAATATTTCTCTTGATTTTATTTATATTTAATTCTATTTTTTTTTCATGATTATAGGGTAGTGACCTTTGGATGACAATATCACCGATTAGTGAGCAACGACATACACCCTCTGCTGGTATTGCTACACAAAGTTCTACTTTCAAACGGTCCACTACATTATAAATTTTCGCACTGACGTAATATAGTGACTATTTACTTACTCCAATACAATTTTTCCTGTTTTGTGTATGTGTTAAACAAAGAGAATTGTCGTTTCGTTGATTTATTTTTCGATTTGTTTATTTTCTTTGTGATTGTTTTAACAGTGGCTATCTTTTAAAATATTTATTTTTATTTTTGAATGAACCCGGATTTTAGTTTGTGCCAACTCGTTTACGTTTACTTTTATTTTAAGATTTTAAGATTAATCTTATCAAAAAGTCATGTCGAAAAGTAATAAAAATCAAAAATCGATTACATCATTTTTCAAAACTCCTGCACAAGCAACAACAAATGAACCAGCAGCACCTAAGCCTAAACCAACACCACCAGCTCATATTCCTGAAATAAAAAAGAACCTGGAATCTCAAGACTACCATCTTCATCACCACCATCATCGGAACCTGCAGCCAAACCGGCTGTTTCACCCAAAAAGCCAGCAGTGATTGTGTGTCCCACAATAGCAAAATATCCAAATCATGAAACAGAATGGATTAATTTATCTGATTGATTTATATTAACAAATCGTAATTTTGATGTTCAATATGCTCATCTTTATGCTGAACGACATGGTGCTATGAGAAAAATGGTTGCGAAAGCAGCTGAAAATCATTTGGGTTTGTTGATTCAGTAACACAAAATACAAGTTTCTACTCTTTTCAATGATTTTAGATTCAAAAGTACCAATTAAAAAAATGAATGATCTTGTATCCAATGTAGAATGTATTCTTATTGGAATTTTATTTAAACAAATGGTTTTAAAACCAAGCATTGTTAAACAGATAGCGACTGAAGTAAATCAACTTGTTTTTTTTAGATAAATCGAAAATAAAATTTTTTGTTTTTTTCTTAGAACAGCTTCAATTTACAACCATCACGTACACGTTATGTTGATCCTACTGATAAACTAATTCTTGAAGAAGAATCCCAAAGAATCGAGCTCAACGGAAATATTGATATTAATCAATTTGTTACGGGTGAATAAATTCTCTAGAGAAATAGATCTTGATTGGACATTTTTCTTTTTCATTGACTTTAAATAGGCGTTGCTATAGCGGTACATGGCTATGAAGATGGTCGAGGTGTATTTATTGTTAAAGATTATTGTTTTAAAGATCTTTCTATTCCAAAAAAATTATCACCACCAAAGGAGGATAAGTAAGAAGTTATAATTTATCGTATGATCAAATTTTAAATTTATATTTTGCAGATACATTTTATTTACTTCGGGTTTTCTTCTCTCTGAAAGTTCAGTCATTTTTAATCAACTTGAATGTCTAGTTAATTCATTAACACAACCAACAAACATTCAATCTGAACAGTTAAAAACCATTCTAACCAATACTATTCGATTTATTGTTGCTGGCAATTTAATTGAAAGTTCCAATCGATTGAAAGATACAACAAATCAAGTTAGAAATATTTTTTTTATTATTTTAAAAAAATAAAATTATTTCTTCAGGCAAAATATTTAACAAGAAAAATGACAGCAAGCAGTGTCGAAGCCATGCATAGTATCGATGAATTATTTGATAAAATCGCTCTAGGTTAAATTTTTAGTAGCCGGTTCTCTCAATAATTTCATTTTTCTAGGCAATCACTGATATTGATATAATGCCCGGCGTGAATGATCCAAGGTAAATCTATAGAAAAACAATTCTTTTTTGAAAATATTATTTTAGCTGTCATATGTTACCACAACAACCTTTACATCCATGTATGTTTCCGTCGTCAAGTAAACGAAAAACAACACATTGCCTTACAAATCCATATGATTTTCAAATCGGTGATATTCGACAATAGAAATGTTGTTTTTATTCATATTTTACGGGAGATTTGTTTCTTTTTCTTTTAGTCTTCTCGGAACATCAGGACAAAATTTAGACGATATCGATCTTCAATCAACGATTGAGAGTCGTGTTCAGATACTTGAAAATTGTCTTAAATGGAGTGCTATTGGGCCAACATGTCCTGATACATTAAGTAGGATAAAAAAGAAGTTTCGGTTTAAAGCTGAAGTTAATTTTCAATGTTTTAGGTTGTTATCCATATGTCAAAAATGATCCATTTATAATTACTGATACACCACATGTATTCTTTGCAGGAAATCAACCTAAATTTGAAACACGAGTTTTTCACGGTATGATCATCAGCTATTTATTGTAATTGAGTGTAACACCGTGACAGCATTGAAAATATGAATACATCAACTGAATTGTTTAATTTTCTTTTAGGATCAAATGATATTCAAGTTCGTCTTCTCTGTATTCCATCTTTTGCTCAATCAAATTCGTGTATTGCTCTCAATTTAAGTACACGTGAATGCTATGAGATATCATTTCAAAATGAAACACCACAACTAATTCAATAGACAAACTGGCATTCAATCTGACTATTATTCATTTATACCTATATGTTCATATTGTAAAGAAAAATAAATAAATCTATGGATGGTGATAAAATTTAATTGAATAGGATTTTTTTCCATTGTTGTCACCTTGGTGAAATAGCTCACGATTCAAGTTATTAATTATAATTGACAGTACGTTTTCACTACAGGAGAGTTTGGGAGAGGGTGTGGGTGTACGCCCATTCTTCATACCTATGAACACCCACTCCCACGATACGCCAATAAGTAGCGTCATCATACCCTTCGCAAAGACGAAAGAATCGTGTATGTAGCTTATCTCGACCGTCGGCCGCTGTATGGTTTTTTAGATGAACAAATATGTTAGGGGCACTGAAAGGCAATACCGCTGGTGCGACTTCGATAAATGGACTCAACATCATATGCAACAACGGCGCAAAGAGGAACGTGAAAAGAAACAATCATTTTTCGTTTGTATTTTATCACCTTTCGTAGCGCGCTACGTTTTAATTGTATTCAGCTCGAGTAAACACAAAAATATATTTGTTGTTGTTGTTGAGTGATATATAAACGAATGGCATGTCCATCAGATCTAGGTGATCATGAGGAAGGATATTGTTGATAAAATAGAAAGACATTTGATAATTATCACAGTTTGAGATGATGAAGGTAATTGCTATGTCGGCAGTTAGTTGGCAATCGAATAAACTCGTTGTCCATTAATTTCGCTTTTGTTCTATCGTGGTGACGAATAGAGAAGGGTTTGCGTGTGTCATTACACATGGCTGCAGATGGATGTGAGCTAAGAGAATAACTACACCCACACCCTAATTTGACATAATATGTCAAATCAACTAATAAAGTATATAATTGTTTTATTAAATTAGTGTGGTTTAGTATCAATCAGAAGTAGATGTGGAAGCAATGCTATTTGATGATGTCGATGAGAAGAAATATCCGCCGATAACATTGGTTAATATTAAATGAATTGTGATCGAACAATAGTATTTCAGCTAATACAACCATCAGTGGGTCAATTGAATCGGGATTGGTGCAGTTCTGAAGAGTTCTATACATCAGAAAGGTTTCGATTGAAAAGTGGCCAGAACTCCTCGAATCTTTAATTAATTCTTCCGTTGATAGTTACGTCATCTTATATGCATAGATATGCAGACTGTTCAGTTTTGAGATGAATTTTCTATTCAATCCATATATTCACATACACGATGACATTAATCAGTCTATTGTTCGATGAATCATTGTTTTTCTTAACTTTTCTATCTCATTCTAAACAAACTAATTTGAATTAATAATAATTTCTTTATTAGTATCCAAACGAAAAATAAAATATATATGTTATAAAAACTAAATAGTTCTTTGTGTTTAAAACCTAGATAAAATAAACACCCTACGACGACAATCTACCTTTTCATAGAATATGTATTTTTGGTGAATATATTAATACATGATTATCTGCATCGATATTTTTTTTTTCTATTGATATTTCTTAAACCAGTGAAGTTTTAAATAAATTATTTTATTCATGTTTGATTACAAAATAGATCATTTTCTACAACTTTTATTTATATATTCTTTACGAATTGAACATTTGTATTCTTTTTTTTATCGGAGATATGAACGCTAGTGCTATCATGAAATTACAAACAGCATAGTCGTTTACAAGACAGAAAGACAACTTACTAAAACTTCCTATTTACAACACAAACTATTTCGACATGTGCCAGATTGCAACCATCATAAGATTACATGACAGAAAAGCTTTCTTAAACATAGATCAGTTATGATTAAAGAAAAAACTTTCTAAAGCCTGAAAACTCGAGGTATATTATCCAGTTAAAAAAGAGAACGAATAGTAAGTAAAATTTACAATATTTATTTAAAAAAAATTATTCACTACATTGTAAGAAAAACAATGTAAATTATTCAATAACATTTAATTGTATATAGTCAAATAAAACATTGCGATGCCATGATCTGCTCTAGTTCGAAATCCAGAATAAATGTCCGATACTTCGAATACTTTTATAGTACCCATTGTTTCAGTAAACCAATGAGTATTATCATGTAATAAACAGTTTGATTCAAACCAATCATAGTTCATTTTGTTTTCATCACATACACAATCAAGACCATGATCAGCTAATGCATAAAAATGGCATAGCACACTTTTTTCTGCTGGATGATATTTACTACAATATTCATTATAATAAGTTAAATATTCATTATTCTTATCCAATCTAATACGACATGTAATTTCATAGGTTCCAGGTAAAATTGATTTAAATTTACCTTTTATACCACATAAATAGGTCCCTCGAATCGAATGTAAACGAAGACATCGACCTATTGAACTATTTAAATCATATTCTTGCATTGGATATTTTACGTTGCAACAGGCTCGATGATATCGTGTACAACGTAGATCGATTGCAAATAAATCAACACCTAGTAAACGTTTAGGTTGAATTAAATAAAAATAAATCAATTTATAATTTGGTATGTGTAGAATATTTTCTTTAGTTAAATATTTATTTTCATTCAAATAATATTCAAACAATTCTTCCATTGTTAAAGACATTTTTAATTCACTTGTGCGTGGACGTGTTTTTTGCTTAATTATACTTCTATGAGCTGTATAACCGTCACTATTATCTTTGCTATTTAATACATTCAATAACCACATATTACATAAATTCAAATCTGAATATCCTCGAAACGATTTCTCAAATCTTTTTTTATCTTCTTCTGTACGATATAAAGCATAATCAGAATTTTTCTCATTTTGAAATATTTCATTAACATAACGCTGATACAATTTAGATCCAAAATGATTTTGAATTAATATCATCCAAAAATAATTATCGTTTTCAATTAAAATATATAATTGTTTGCATCTTCTCGATAAGTTCATAATATTCATGAAAGATAAATATTTACATAATTTATAAATAACATGATGTGGAATATTATCTATACACATTTTTATCTAAAAAGAAAAATATAAGAAATTTTGATAAATGATCTAAAATATGATAGAAAAATAAAAATAAAAGTAACTCTAACATAACATGGTGAGTGAATATTGAAAAACTGACATGTGAGAATCAGTGACGAAGTGAGGCTTTTGGTTTAGGGGAGGCGCAGCGCCGTCATCTATTGAATCATACGACATTTTTTCTCTATGTATTTTGATCTTTTCATTAGAATAAGTTGCAAAGCTTTTTACTATTATGATATCTGATAGTGCTGCGAAACCGCATCAAACTGAAGCAGGTTCTTAATGTTCAAAAAAGAAGACAAATTTGAAAAAATCGACCAAAATTCGAAAAGTTTTTATAACTTGACTTTTGTTGTTTGTCGATTATTAGTCATATCTGAAGAGATTTTTTGAAAGATGTGCTTTTGTCTAATCCAAAAATGTATTAATACGCGATCGGAAAGTTTTCAGGCAAAATGTTTTTTTCACTTTTAACTCGACGAAGAGTATTTTCGACTAGCTCAAAATTATTATTAATTACTATCAAAATTTGGTGCCCGTTTTGGAAATTGACCTAGAATTCTATTTTTCTTTGAAAGTAATCAGTGGAATGGTCTTCAGAAAATCAAACAAATAGGTTAAGATAGAAACTTTTTCCGTTTATTTTTGTATTTTGGTTTGCAGTTCGAAACGAAAACTTCGTATCCTGCCCTATAAGTCAGCTTGCAGAACCGAAGATATCTTAAAAAATGTATTATATAACGTGTTTTGGCTTTCCCTCAGGCATCTCAGTTTCTGTTCTTCCAAAAATTCATCTCTGAAAAATCGACTTTTCATCAAAATTCATTTTATGTTAAGAGGAGCTCTTAATAAATGCGTGTAAAATTAATTGAGTTAAAGCCAGTTTAAATCAATATCCCATTTTGTCAAGAAGTATCCACTCAAGAAAATCACGCACTACGACAATTCTTAACATCCTCGTAAAGGACCTTACAGTTCAAACAAAAATGTTAGTACATCATTGAAAGAAACTTTTCACGCTCTGAAAGAAGTCCTTCCCTATATTTGAGTAAAAGTATCCAAAACATTTATAAGCCCATCTTCGAAAAAGCGCAAAACTATAGGCATAGAATAACTTTCGACTCGTCTGAAATGCCTTCTAGATGAATGGTAATGAACACAATCGCATCTGAAAATCTTCCAATCATTAGCTATGAGATGAAAGGATAGATTATAACCTCTAGAATCTGATTAGAAATTAGAATTACAGTATTTTATTCTTTTCCGAAATAGGTACAAGCTTCACACAACAGCTAAAACATTCAAATATTCAATTGCTAAGACTTGCACATCGTTTTATAAGAAAAGATTCATCCTTCAAAAATTTGGTTGTGGGGGAGGGGCTCAGCCCCCTGGCTCCGCCACTGGTGAGAATGAAAGCTTTGATCATTTGTTTACTTCAACTAATCTATATCGCGCAGAAAATTACTTATTTGATATCTATTCTTTTAGTACCTTGTTTTTATGAAATTAAGTATTTTATTAATCAATTTTGCATTGATGATATCGCTGAAAAGTTATCAAATGAAGAAAAAAAGTAGTTTCCTTCGAGCAAAGTCCATTTTGAATTTACAACAATAACAAGTCTGTATATTAATAGAACTTAGCAGACTTGAATCGTGTTAGAAAAGGCAATACTCTCGAAGAGACAACCTTTAACTTCACTTTAACTATCAACCAAATGTTCTGATTCATCTAATCCTTGTTCTTTTTATCCATGGCACACTGATATTCATATGTATGGAAAAATAGCAACTCCTAAAAGTTGTTAATAAAGAAAGAATAATAATCTTCATCGAGCTTTAATACAAAAGGAAAAGTATCACAAAAAAAATTCATTTTCTTATCATCATTATAGTTAATCATCACGATCAGAATCAGTATTATTATTATCATCATCGTTGCCATCCTACAATAGCGAACAGAAAATTTTCAATCAGAGTTCTCGATGGGTCACTAGAATGGGCTGACATGAATCAAATGTATTTTGAAGATTATGATGAAACAGACGAGTTGAAATATTGGATTGTCACGAGTTTCATCGAGATGATTGTAGTGATTTTTCGTTGAAACTAAGTAAATATTTTCTTTCTTCAGTCGAAAATTTTTCCGAAAGCGTTCTATAGATGAATCGATAGCTACCAAAGATTTCGGGAAAAGAAAATCAATTATTGAAAGAAATTGTCTGCATAAAAAAATTTAGTTTTAACGAAATATCATTGCAATTATCTCATAGAACATCGTCGCAAAATTATTCACCCACTGTCAAGAAAAAACAAAGAATCGATCCCTTGAGAAATTTTTTTCCATCGAATTTTCTTAGAATATTTTCTTGTCTCTACGCTACAGAAATACGTAATGCATAATTTACTATGTACTCCTTATTCTGACTATATTTCGTGACTCTGATCGTCTACCATTCAGAAATAAAAGTAAAGAAAAGCAAAAAATACTCACTGACAAATTCACAGCAATATTAGATCTAAAACAAATTTAAGTTTTAATACTTGTGAGACATGCGAATAGAATTAATAGGCTTTTTAGAATTTCTATGTTTCTTGCTTTATGTATTACAATTTGATGAAGAAACGTAGAAATTTAAAAGATTCTATTAATTCTTCATGTACTTTATTCGAACAGTCAGTAAAAAGTGCCTCGAATAAGATCAAGCTATGTAAATTGAAATAGAAAAAATATAAATTGCTAGAAAACTAACCATTAATATATCTTGAAAATATCGATTTACTTCTTTAACGAAAAAACATTCTTAGATACAAAAACTATTAAAATCCAGCAGTTTGAGATAACCGGAATTTAAATTTTGATATTGTGATTTAAATTAAAAATCCTGAAGTCCTCGCTAAATTTCCATGTTGGAAAAACCGGAGTAAAATTGACGGTTTACCGCGGCTTTTGCCGCTCCGGTTACCAGCTCCCATCAACACAAATTTACCGCGGTAAACCGGGGGTTTCGGGAAACACCGCGGTTTACCGCCGGTATTTTTCGATTAACCGGTTCACTGAGCGTTTATAAAAAATTGTTGCTAAAAGTCATTGATCGGGCTATTTTAGGCATCTTTTTTTCCTATATGATGACGGTAAAAAAAGGGTAACGGAAAAACTAGCGGTTAACCGCGGTATTACCGCTTCGGTTACCGGCTCCCATTTCATACAGATTTACTGCTTTTCTAAAATTACCGCGGTTTACCGCAAAAATTGAAGCGGTATTCTTGACATGGGTTATTACTAGCATAACTTAATCATCAGGAAAAGTAAAGCAAGAGTATGAGAGGCTTGACTAAACCTATATTCAATTCTTTTTAATTTATTTCATCTTATGATGAAAATCATTTATCAAAATATGTTATTAACAATTCCGAGCAACCATATTTACATAAAACTCGTCAAAAAAATAATAACTCTGAGTAGTTAAAAAAAGGAATTGATTAAATTATTGAAGTGAAAAAATCAATATAGAAATTTTGTTGTATATTCTATTTGATTTTTTTAATAAAGCATACAAAAACGTCAGACAGCATGATAAATTTAAGATAAAAACAAATTTAGATAGACCTCATTTCGAATTAGGATTAAAACGATGACCTTACACTATAAATTTTTTTAGTGCTGATTTCTATTGATAAAAAAATTGTGTTCATCTTAAACAGCTCAGTTTTAACGACCAATATATCCCAGATTGATTTGTCCAATGAGTACATCGAAATATTCAAGTTAAGATATGATAATAATTAATTTACTAAAATGTTTTTCTAGTAAATTCACGATAGCCCATTCTTATTAGGACTATTTTATACTAACTGTTCGAATTAGGGACATGCACCGTGGAAATTTAAATAAAAAATACTTACAAATATAAGTTGAATTGTGTTCGAATCTGAAACATGAAACATTCAAAAATTATTACAAAAAGTGTTCTGATATACTACCTCTCGAATATTAGCTATTTGTTCATTTGTGCTTTCCCAGGTCGATCGTTCCGGTCACCGGATACTGTAGGAACCGGTCGAAAAATTTTAGGAGTTTTTCCCGATTATTTACTGTCGATTACTCCAGGAAAGCACTGGAAATTGACCGGAATCCATAGGAAAAATCCTGGAATTTACGACTGGAATACTACTTCCACCTTCCCGCGATTTCCCGTGTTTTCCGGTCGTTTCCCGCCGTATCGCCACGACCTGGGTATTTATTGCTTTTTTCCATTAATTTTTCTAAGGACACAATATTATTGTTAATTGATTTGAAAAAAATCGACAAACAAAAAAAATGATGATCGATGATTATTAATCTTAAAATACAAAACTTTTCTTGAATTCAGTCTATGCTTAAAATAATGTTCTACTTATACGAAAAACGCCTGTGTTTCTTTTAGCACGTGTATAAAATTGTCGACAGAAAGATAAATCTCCTCACGTTGTGCTATAAAACCGATCCATCCCTAGGTCGAACAGACACAGTCGTAAACGACTGTATACGGAAAAATACGGCGAAACACATGTCTCAGTATTACGATCGTATATCTCCGTGTCGCGTACGGCGAAATACGACCATATACGAAGACAAAAGATGATCGTTTACGATTTCTGTACATTGAGTCCATATACGATCTCCTTATTGCTCCTTATTTTACCGTATATGGTCGTATTTCTCCGTTTACGACACGGTGATATACGATCGTAATACTGAGCCATGTATTACGGTCAAATACGATCCTATACGGGGACCAACGGAGCGTATACGACCGTTCACGATCGTATATGGGCTCCGAAAGCTCTCGACCTGGGATTATAAGAAAATATACTTTGCTTCAGCATTACCAACGATCATTATGATAAATAGTATTACTGATAATTCAAATCTATGAAAGAAGAAAAGCTTTAAAGTTTTCATTGTTCATTTTCAATACTTTGATGATTCTTGAAAGTCGTAATAATGCGTTAATATAAGGATCAATGATGATAATACTTTCTTATCAATATTTGTTACTGGGATGAGATCAATATTTGTTACTGGGATGAGATCAATATTTGTTACTGGGATGAGATCAATATATGTATATATTTCGTGGTATAGTTTCATTGCATTTTGATAAATTACACGAACACTATTTTCATAAAGCTAATAAGACACATCCACATGAGTAATAATTTTTCCTAATAAATCGTTTGAAAAAGCCATTGAGGGAAAATATCTACAAAATGAAACATGAATAGCGTAAAGCAACGGAAAATATACAAAAACATTTTGATATACGTAAAAAAATTAACAATCAATATATATTCTGCCTGAAATGAATAGATTAAAGCTATAAATATTCGTATTCTCTCTGTGAGCACCTTTTAAAGGAAACAACGAAACAAGGGGAAAAGTAGTCAGATTATAGCAGTTCCCAAGATTTTTCCTACTAGTTCAACAAATTAACTAATCGAATTTGATATTAGGAAATTTTTGAAAACAAAGCTTTTTGAGGGTGTGGGTGTGGGGCTGCGTATAGGTTTAGAAAAAAAACATCCCTATCCACACCCATTTTTTTCATATGACCCTCCCTACATTCGAGGGAATACTTGAATCTAAATTTACTATAAAATCAGTATTGAATTTAATATTAATATGAATTTATTTAATTTAATTTTAATGTAAAGTTGATATTAAGTTTATTGAATTCAGCTTTGAAATAGAATCAATTGAGTAGAATTTATCGAGTACAATTCTGCTATGAAATGAGTATTGAATTTATTAAATATAGTTTTGATATAAAATTAGTTGAAATGAATATTGAACTTATCCAATCATTTACACCCAAACAGCTTATTGAATGCGTCAATATTGGACAGCGTATCCACGCTCACATTGATCGACATCGCTCCAAAACGGGCACGTACAATGGAATTTATCGTACCAAAACAAAGCAACCAGGAAAATATATCCCAAAGTCTCATGAAATGCTTACTCGCTCGAATCAAACTGCGAACGTGTACAACCACTACCAATATGACTCAAAAAAGAGCACGAACTATGAAATATGACCGAAATACTGACTATATACAGTTACACCTAAAGAGCTTATCATCTTTAGGTATATTCTACCTATCCATGTTCCTAGCTCATTGTATTCCATCAATTAATCGTTTATTTATAATTTGTGTTTGTTTTTTCCCATTTTTTTGTTTTCCACTATATCTATCCTATTTTATACCTCTATTATTTGTGCTAAATTAAAATGTAGAGCCCTGATAAGTGTTTTATTATTTTAATAAATAAATAACACCAAACGCATCGGCGAAATTAAACTCTACATTTATTTAATTATTTCTTAAATTTAGCACACAAAGAAATTATTTTATTTTCAACTGAAATTCAACTTTGACCGGCTGCTACAAAGCAAGAGTTGAGACTAGCAGATTGATTTGTCTTTTCGTTAAGAGATAGATTTATCTGTTTTTGAATTGATCAAAATATACGAAAACTGATTGAACAAAACCGACCCTCAATATTGTCACTTGAATAAATGATTACAAAAAGGTGAGAATATATACACGTTTAAATGCACTGTATGTAAGACAGGTGACATTAATTGTGACAATCAAGATTGAAGCGCTATTATTGTTCAGCATATGAAAACAAAAGGTCAGCCTAGAAGGGTGTGGGTGTGATCAGCAAAGTAGTATTATCTATATCTACGCCTAGACATTCCACGGTTCGGATCCTACAATGGTTTGAACCGATGGGCTCTACATGACACGACAGGAAAGAAAAAAAGTTGTTCTCTTCTCGTCTTGATATTAACATTTTTCTTGTATACTATAGCTTTTTCGTAAAATTTATTAATAAAATTGAATTGGGTATATGTTTTTGTTCATTATGCAATATCTCAGACATTAAATCGGAAAAACAATGTATTCAATCTCCCTCAATTAGCCAGAGTTTCGGAGTCCAACGCAGTTTACTTAACTGGATACAGTAAAGACAAGTAACATAGCATCAATTCTATTAGAAATTAATTTAGGACAGCTCCTTTCGAAGTTTGACATCGAATAAATAAACTTTGTCGAAATATCCATGTAAATGAAAATGGAATTTATTAGTGCTAAGGTGTACTTTCACTTCTTTATTAGCAGGTTCGATAACATACACTTTACCAATAATAATACAAGCACTGAACCAATAACAGGGACAGATATACTCGTATTAAATTATCTCCAATGAGATAAAGAATACATAATAATGTGTGGAGGGCAATAGGAGAACGAAAGATAGTGCTATCGAGGTAGATGATGCCAATGATCTGTGTGTGCATACACAGATCATAACAACTAGATTTCGCATATTCCCTTTTCTGAAAGAAAGTTTTTTGTATTTTGAAAATCCGGATGTAGCAATTTTTGATATAAAAATATGTTAGTGTAGATTGAATTACACTTTATTCTAATGTTTCATATCATTCGATAGTATGGTTTGTATATGTCACAGTTGACATGAGAATTTCAGTTGAGATTGGAATGCGCGAAATAAAATTATTTGAATTTCTTTTTTTTTCCCTGCTCGTGTTTCATAAAATAAAATATATTTAAAAGGAAAAAAAAATTCACTAGTAAATTGAATCGAATGAATGAAAAAAATTATAGGTAAATGATTACCTTGTGCTTTATGTATAATAATAATAATAAAATTTTTGTTTTGTTTAAATTCTACCGGTATGAGTCATAATATAATTAATCTCCTCTGAATTAATCATCAGATGGTATTACAAGGATGTTTAGTACATTTTTATATTTGATTTATAAAAGTTGTATAAATAAAAAAATTTATTTTTCTCAGATAAATTCAATGTCCCCATGTCCCCATAGTTTAATAAATGTACAGAGAGTTGAATTTATATGAAAACCTTGTAAAAGGATGGAAGAAATAATTATCAATACAAAATTTTCTAAAGGCAGATCTCAATAAAAATTCTATTAAAAAAATTAAGAAAAAGCTATTCCAAACTCAACTAAATTCCAAACTCGCCTGCCACATATACGCAATCAGGAAAGAGAAGAAGAGGACATGAAAGAATATAACAAAAAAAAATGATGTCTTTACGAAATAACGTTTGCAACCAGGAAGAAAGATTTGATAAAGACTTGAAAAGTCGAATCATGCATTCATACCGCTGTATCATTATCATAAGATGAGCTGCAACTATTCTTGGGTGATCTATTTTGGTTTTTATTAATAGTCTTTTGGAGCAGCTCGATGAGTTTTTCTTGTTGGTTTTGTAATTTGAGTGATTCTTGTTCGTTCTTGAATCGAGATTTTCTCTCGCGACTGGAATCGTCTCGTTCTTCTCTCATAATATTCTCTATGACAAGTTGCAAGTAGTCTTGGGCAATGCTGCTTTCACGTAACATATTGTCACGTTGTTGAAATTGAGTCAGATCTAACAAAAGAAATGATAAAGTAAGTGCTAAGAAGTCGTTGACATCGCTCTCTTACTGGTGAGATCTTGTCTAACTGGCACAGCGATGGATGACCTTCCACTTTTATCTATAATCAATTGTTTTTTATCGTCGGATGATGGTGTCAATCCAACATGACTCGAATATGCTGTTTTCCTCTTGAAAAGAATAAAATTATTCTTCCTAATCGAATCGTCTCTATTTTCGTCATGACTCATAGTATAGGTGGCTGTGATGCCATGGTTGGCACATGGATTAAAATGCATTATTTCTTTTGTTTCTATGCTCTGGTCAACGTTGTGCTCAACATAATAGCTGGCATGTTTAATAGTGAATGGGTCACCAGCGTTTTTGGTAAACTTGAATCCAACATAGTCACCTTTCTGTACTTTGAATGGTTTAACTTGATATTTTTGAATTCCAACAGATGGTCTGAGATTGGTGACGAAGGAATCCACTTGTTCTTGCACAAAAAAATGCTCCCTATTATTGAATATTGATCGAATAATGTAAACTTTAATTTTTGCATTGGATTCGGTAGGAGCTCGGCAAAAATTTATTAAGAACTTATCGATTGTGCCAGCACTGACGACATAATTATCAATATTGAACACAATCAAATCCATCACATTAGCATGTAATTCGCTACCGCCATCGAGAAAACTGTAGACATCGTCTGAACATGAAAATATGAAGATTAGTTCACAATAAACTTGAATTTGTATTGATCAATTTTTACCTTCTCTACTATTTTGAGAGTGGGTGTCTATCCATGCATATATCGATGGTTTTACGCGTTCGTTTAGATCTTCTCTTCAGTCATGTCGATGCTCACACTTATACTATGATGCGTCATATACCTCCTTCTAGAATAACATTAATACTTCACACCTCACGCTCTTCACTAAATTACGTAACAGAAGTTCGTGAATCTACCGATTTGAGTTCGTATGGGTCCATTGATAAAGATCTTTTTAAACAAGTAATTAGTGCTATGGAGTTGCTTGACAAGAGAATTCCGAAACTAAGTGATTTTTTTCTAGGAAGACTTGAAGTATGAGTTAAAATAAGAAAAACCCCAACGCCGAAATCTACACCCTCAAGAAGGGATGACGGCTGGATTCTGATATCGTAATTGGGCAGGAAACAGCTAAACTGTAGTTCTATAAAAACAATACGTCTCCCAATAAAAATATTGGAACCTTTCAGGACGCTTCTATAATATAGTACGGAATCAATAGGAGGTAGTTTAATTAAAATGGATTTTTGTGCACTACAGCAAAATAGGAATTTACTTTTCCATGACAGTCATGTTCGTGTAACGAAGAAGACACTGCTCACAGTTGTCTATGCTGTTTCGCTCGTTTTTATCGGAACTTTTCCCGATGTTGGCAATTTAGTAAGTACTTTATTATAATGATTCAAGTATATGACAGTATATTTGAATTATCACCCCAAATCTCGTACTGATGCTCATTTAGGACACACAGTATCTAGCAATAGAAGCCATGAAGTCAATTTGTATACAATAAACATACTTCTGAAGAGGCATTGGTTTATATCTCTATCGAGATTCACATAATAGCTCGACTTCAGCAATCATAATTTAAATGTTCTGTTGATTGTGCCGCAGCCGATAAAATTTACTTTTGACATACTTACATTCTTTCTTGCGTAGCAATCGCAGAAATATAATAACCAGTTGAATGATATAGTATAATACATTTAATGGTGGTGGTATTAGAGATTTGCTCGAATATTCTCTAACAAGTGAAAATCGATGAAACCCCCAGTCTTTCTGTGCATTTTGGTTGGTTTTTGTAAGTGTGACACTAGAAGTAAAACAACAAATAGATTACTGTATTGCAACTTGGGTTTATCGATTTAGACCTTAGAGCGCTTAAAATGATGAGATGATCGCGCTTCTTTCCGAACAATTGAGGTAAGAAAAATTTCCAGCACCCATTTGGAGGCAGAGCCCATGTATTTTTCGTTCGATAAAAATTCTTCTCGAATCGGTTTTCAAAATGAATTTATGGATGACACTGACACTATCAGAGTATGTTTCTGCTGATTACTCATTATATATATTTAATTTCTTTTGTATAAAAGAGCATGTTCTATCTAAAATGCTCGTTTATATAAAAAAACGTTAATTATATGGAATGAAACATTAAATAAAATTTTTGATTACGAAATGAGCTGTATTTTACTCTTGTTTATATATTCCATAAGCATCATCATATAAGACTTAGACTTTTATACTCGGACCTCTCCGCTGCAGTCTCAATATACCTGGAAATTTTCATACAATTTTCTTGTTTCTGGACCAACATTGATTTCTACGAGTGATGTAGATGATTGTAAGCATCTGAATACTTTTCAAACTTATTGTTATAAATGTAGAAAGAGTACTGATTTCATCAATCAATCCTCATGAAAGTTACTATATCATTTATTTTGTACACGAGTACTGAGTTTACCACGAATATCCCTGTTCGGTCCTACGATTTTGGTTCTTTTAGGTGAGTTTATGATCTTCGAAAAGTCTTCAGTCAATTTAAGGTGCCTAAGAAAAGAGCTCTTTCATATTACCAGTTTTTGGGAAAGAAGACGTATTCAAAAGCAAACTACAATTACGCTGTAATCGTGTTTGCCCTGGAGAAACATTCCAACAGTAGGATCCAATCGGACCCTCGACAGCAACCCGATCCAATTTTATATGAATTTCTATAAAACCGATGACTTGCTGTATGAATCCCGGTTGTGGACCAACATTATGATTTCTAGTATTTTATCCGATCAAATCTTACTGTTGGATCCGATGCAGCCTATCGAGGAGCTTTAACCGGCATCTAGTGTTGGCTCCAGATACTGAATAGTGTCCAAATAGTAAAATATACATTTTCTGTAGGATCCGTCAGTAGTTTCTCAACCGGAAATCCCATTAGATTTTTTTGTCCCGCCGAATCTTTTAAGATCCGACAGGATTCGTTATTGGATTCATTCACCTTGGTGGCAAATGAAATTCTCCCTAAATAGATTTTATAATTGTCTTAAATAGTAAATATTGAGCATCTATCTAATCTATGATGAAAAATACAATATTTCTCATCCGATAAAGTCTCGCTTATGAATATTCAGTCCGTTGACAGAATTCATCAGCAAGTTTTGTTGAAAATCGAATATTTACTTAAAAAGAGCCACGAGTATGTTGAGCAGAAGTACATTAGCGATAAAAATAAAGACAATCGTCAATACTAATGTCGTATTTCCGTAGGCATCTCCAGTAGCTGTTTGAAAATGTTTTCGATATGATGAATATAAATATACTGTGTTTTACCTGAAATATTCGGTGCATCAACTAGTCTGTAGTCGATAAGATCTATTTGTCCATAAATTTTCCAAATCCCCCAATCAAGCACGTTTCGTAGTAGATTCCATGTCCAGGGGTGGGTCTCGTTCTGTACGATAATGTATGTACGTGATGATGCAACATTTTCATTTGGAATCCAGGCAATTTGTTGTGAAGTAGTGATAAGAGAAAAAGAACTGATTGAATAGGCAGCAAAAAAAATAAAAATGAAATAAGTAAAAAAGACTAAATCTTTCATCTAGAAATAGATCCGAACGAATCAAATGATGAAACTACAATGCGTTCACTCACTGTGTTAAATATCATTAATAACTTGGGTCCAAGTCGTTCGTAGGCAAAGAACAAATGAAGAATACGGACATACCATAGAAAGAGATCGATGCACATGAAAATTCTTTGAAAAACATGCAAGACAATTGAACGAACAATTAAAATCAGAACAACTAACTTTGAGATGACAAAGACTTGTTCGATGACAATGAATCTCGTAATGAAACCGACAAGATAGATACAAATAGCCGCAGCGTCGAGTATATTCCAGTTATCGTCGAGAAAATACGATGTTATAATAGTAAATATGCGACTATTCCTTTTTACTCCTTCACGACAGTGAACGCCAAACTAAATACTGACTATTATTATTACTGAATCAACTTGAAAGAGAGGAGCAATGTCACAATAAAGTGCTTTTCATGTACCTGAACGACTTCTTCGGTGATTAATCCCCAAATGCACAGATGGACCATGATTTCTGAGATTGGAATGCCAATCGAATATCCACTACGTTTGCCTCTATTGTTATTGTATGGAAAATAGCTGAGAAGCATTACAAAACTGAAGAGACCCAGAAAGATTACGTAAAATATCTAGAATGATATCAGATTTATAACTGTTTCAAATTGAGTGTTACCACTTACAATACTGTAATAGAATCGAATAATGGCTCTTCCGCGAAAGAAATCCATGAGCCGATCATAGATTATTCGTTTTAGCCAGTTGCCTCTTTTCCTAATTTGAAAATTCATCAGTGATATGAAAATTTCTGTCAAAAACTCTGAATTTAATCGAAAAATGCTCGAAATAACACATATCGTACGAACCGGTCTACATTATTTTGCTTTAATCTCAAAATTTTGCTGCATAATAATCGAAAATTTTCGATCGGTTCACACTATATGGTGGATCGAATATGATAACTTATTCAGCGAACAATTTTTTACATAGTCATCTATCAAAAAAATGCATTTTTCAAACTCACATTGGGTTTTTGGTCGTCGATTGAATGATCCGGTAAATGCCAGTAAATGTCAGGAGCAAAGGAAAAATACATAGTATCCACATCTGTAATGTTTTTCAATCTCAACAGTTAAACGCAGTTTAATTAGACATTACTGACCAGTATATCAGCAACGGTTCCTCTCTTGACCGAATTGTCAATATGGCCATACCAGAGTCGATCAGCATACGCTTGCACACATCTAGTGGCTAGAAATGAACGATTATTTGTTTCTTCGGCTAGTTTCAACGAAGAATAGCCGAAATATAAGTGTGATCGTGTTGTCAATAGTTGTAGGGCAAAATTTTCATCTTGGAGAAAGCATTTATCGATAATTTGTGCTGCATGTACATCGAATTCTCTAGTGCACAAAAGTAAAATACATTGTTAAAAAGATTTGATTAAGTTTTGCCATACGTTTTTTTTTTAAGGTATTTTATTGCTAGCTCTTTGTCATTGGCCAATTCAGCTGCTGTTTTATTAATCTTACTAGCTAAAAGAGCAGCAATCATTGCGTTCTATGTCAATCATCAAAATATTTCGATTAGGATTAGACAATTAAGAAAAAACGTACCGGACTGTGTGAACATAAACAGATGGACAAATTGAAGCTATCAGCAAATACTGACCAAAGAAATATATCACGAATAAATTCTAAACAAAATATTCCGTGAATTTCACTTTCATCAATATCACTAAATCAACATGGTGAATAAAAAGAAATCGCACCCGATACGGGAACTAATTGAAAGCTAATGGCTACTCTTCTGATATATCGTTTGAATTCAATCGAAGCATTGGTCGAAGAGAGTTTATTGACTACGTCGATATCAAGTGCATAAGACAAGCCTTGGTCATCCAAATAGCTTGGAGAGCGCGAATTCTCGAGGAAGCCAACAGCCAAATATTGACCTTGTTCGATGTAAATATTGAAGTCGTATACATGAAATATTGATTTGCTTTGATGATATTTGCAATCTCTCTCGTATATCTTTTGCATATGGATCAATTGAAAAGAATTGGCAACGGATGTTGGCGAAAGGACGTAGAGAACTAGATCATGTAACATATCAATTGTCACAGACGGATAGCGAGAATCTGAAAAAGCAATCGAGACTTGTGTCACATTGCCACTTTGTCTGATAGCATCGTCTCCATTGAAGACAACAAGTCCATTTAGATTTGTCGCCTGTTCCATGGGATTCTCGATAGTGCCATAGATATCGATATTGCCTAGAATCGAAAATATAAAACATAAACTATGTTCTTGAGCATCTTCTGTGTCATACTCAGATGCGGCGCTTTAGTTCCCTAAAGAAGAAAGCTTATACGATAATCTTTGAACTTGACAGATAAGTTTATTTTACTTGAAAAGAGTCGACTGTTTTCAGGGCTTCCGCATTCAGATAATGTGTGTAATACATTTGTTGTTTGTTAATATCGTCTAGTGCGATTTTTTGGTTCGATAATGGTAGACCAGTTTTCTACAAATATTGAAAATTATGTATCAATTTTGCAGAGCCTTTCTCACTTTTTTGTATAAGTCATTAATATTGATCAATCGTCGAAGGCGATCAAACGACGCACCTTGCTCAATGAGAAGTTCAACAAATTGCACAGAACCATGCTGAATTGCATGAAGTAGAGCACTGTCCATTTGAGTATCCTTTTGAAAGTTGATGCAAGTCAAAAACAAAGATTCTTCTCTGTTATAGCGCTTACTGTCCATAGAATCTTGTTGTCTTCAATGAACATGTCTGAGACGGCCAAATCAAATTTGTTCCAAGCCATGGCTAATTTGAGCTTTTGTACGTGAGCATCCGACGCTTCATGTCTGGGCATGCTTGCCGCTGAACAGAAAACAATGCACATAAACATTTGAATTATGTACATACCCCGGAATAAAGCTTCGAGTATGGCATCACCCAGTTTGAATTCGGAATCGTCAGGGCACAGTAGAAATGTATTGATTAAGAAGAAGCCTTTTTCCGATGTTATCATGTCACGAAAACAGCTTTCATTACTTTTAGTGATAATTTCTCCATTGGCTTCTTTTATAAGTCGTTCTCTAAAATACAAGTTCAATCTTTTGAAAAATATGCATGAATATTACAGATTAGGATTATTGTTTGTTGATGGAACATATGTTATTTGATTATGATATAATGCATTATACGCTTTGGCAATAAAATTAGCCGCTCTACCCGTACCCTGTGAAAGTGAAAATGTAATTTGCTCGTCTGATTGTGTCTTACATTGAGCACATACCTCAATAACAATGACAGGTGTTTCATGCGTTACTGCTTCAACCATTGTTAGAAGCGATGAAGGACCACCTTCGATCAGTATTTGAATAATTGGAATTTTATAATCTGTCAAAAAGAACACAATGATGGGTCAAACACGAATATTAATTACTTTGCCTATAACGAGAACTATAACGAGCTTCCTGTTCAATTTCAGCACGCAACTGAATAGTGAGGTCGGCTCGAACTGGAAATCCGTATTGTTCCCATTTATCGTTACTGGCACCACATTTATCATCAAGAAGAATAAAATGAGTATGATTTGGATCAAGAGGATACGATTTAGAAGTCTTTTGTGGTGCACAATAGCGATAGAGCTTTTCGTGATCAGCTACAGTATCAAACGTTGATATGGGTGTAGAATTCTAGAGAATACTTTCGGTTTTCAAATAGTGTATGAAAATTATATATATATGCTCCTACGGTGTTCCATTTCTGAGATCGTTCTTGAATGAGTTGACTATAATCTAGTTTTGAATAATGAAACAAATTCTCAAAAAAGCTAGCATGCAGACTTTCCCTTACTTGCTGTATAATACCAACTTGCAATTGCAATAACGGGAACTCGAGTATGGGTCTTATCCACACTAGTAGTTTTGTATGTCCATTTTTCGAATGCCTCACCTACATCCTTCATAACTCCAGCATGCGTTCCTCCCGTAAATACCCAAGCATCTATGCATAGTTCGAGATAAACAGAATACCAATCATGCATGGCTCTTACCGGCAGTTACAGCAGCTGCGACCAGACCCTTTTGAAGAGCGGTACGGCTTTGTTGTGGCAAATTGAAGCTTCTGGCGCCACCTGTGACTGAGATTATCAATTCAGGTGGAGGCAACTCCCATTTATCACGCAACAATTCAATAAGATGCTTAGCTGGTTCACATGATACGGTTTGCATAGGAACAATAGTATGACTAATGCTTTGAAGTACATTAATCGTAGAAAAACTCGATTCATCATCTCGTTCTTTTTCTTTGAGAGCAGTCATTTTTCTCTGTTGATGATTATCGTTTTGTGATGCCGATTGAACAGCATACGGAGGATTGAATGGATAACGTATATACTAATGTGAATTAGATCAATGTTTTTAGTAGTAAAGTTTTTTACTTACCCATGATTTGCGGTCATTCTCTGTGAAGTGTATTTGTCCATAATCTTGAATACTAAATCGTACAAATCAATGATTGGATAGACTACAAAAATCAGATACTCACTGTCTATCCCAATATTTACTATTATTTTCTATGGCCCACTAGAATACACAAAAAAAGATTTGCAGCTCACGCTGTTGAGCTCTACCTACTACTTACATTATGGACAGCTTCCGCAATGCGAACATACGATTTTAAAGGTGCTGCTTGCGTAACAGTGTCTACCATATTGTCTGCTTAATTCTTACTCAATGCATCGATACTACAGTGACTATCACAACCATCACCTGAAATTGGTTTTATCGATTGCAAAATAAAGCTAATTATGATCACAAATGTGCATACGATGATAAGAAGGAAACAGCAGAACAAAATTTGTTCTACATACAGATCAGATATTTATTTGCTTATTTATTACGAATATTTAATAAAAATATGAATGTAGATGTCAGCATAGGTGAAAATCTAAGCTCCATAACTACACCTACATACCTATTAAGGCATGTCAATTCAAATCAAATAATGTAAGATTCTTAAGTGTGGATGTGAGCTTGATTTTATATGGAGTGAAGAAATGTTACTTTTGATTTACACCAAGCGAACATCTACAGTTAAATTCTTGTCAACCATTGTACATTCTCAAGATCATTTCAAATAAATAATGTCTTATTTTTTCTGATCATTTCTAGTTTTCGAAATATTGTGAATTACAGAAAAATATTTTCTTCTTAGTTTCTGTGTAAAATTCCATATGAGAAAGTAACTTAAAAAATATCATCACTGTAACATCTGCGTGATGTGTAACGTTCTTGCACGTCTTACCTGCATCAATTGTTGATAGAGTGGGTTATTAAAACAAACAGTCAAGAAAAAACGAAAAAAAATCAGGATGATGAATGACAAAAAATGGATGAAGTTGCCTTGGTGCCAAGGTAAAGCAAAAGTAATTCTTCAACAGAACCGCCAAATAGTGTCACGTGTACAGTACATAGTTTAATCAACAGTTATTAGACATGTCAATTTTTACGTAAATCTGATTTCGTTGATTTTGAGTATGGATGTGGATTTGTCTGTATCCTTCGTCAACAACCACACTTACACCCAGACAAATTGATATCTTTTCAATGGTAGAAGATCAAGGAATGTATCACATTTGAGGGTGTGGGGTGTGGGTGTACACTGAAAATAATAAAGGTGCCCTACGGAACGTTTAAGGTTTGGTGGTACCTTATTAAACCCTTAGAGATATGATATGGACCTGCGAAAACTTTTTGTAGGTCTAGTACTAGAAAAAGTTCGGTGCGATCGTTTTATAAGGTTCTGAAGTGACAGAGGTTTCGTACCATACTTTTGTGAAAGTCAAAGTTGAGTCAAGTTTCGTAATATACCTCTAATAGGTTCCTCCAACTGAAAAATTGAAGTACTTTTCTTTTAAGTTTGCCATCACAATCCTCCATGATGTACGCTTATCCTTAAAACTATCAATCTCAGCTATCACTGCAAATAAAAAGAGTAGAATAATAAACCCTTGTCCTTTCTACAAATCATGCTAAACCCTTGAAGGGTTTATGAAACGAAGGGTATATGAAAAAAGATGATACAAGAAAAAAGGGGTTATTAATCTCAGATTTAGGAAGAAGGGTATATGATTTTATCCCCAAGGGTATTTTAATATGCGCTCTTGAGAAAAGGGTTTATTACTTTCTTAAAAGGGTATTTTATTCTACGGTGAGGGATTTATTGTTCTACTTCATCATCAAAAGGGTTTTTTATTCTTCGTTCAAAGGATTACACTTTTTCAACTGATATATATATAGATATATATATATCATGAAAATTTCTCACAGGGCACTTCAAACAATTTATTATAATAAACATGTTAATCCAATCGTTTTCTCACAATGCTGCCATTCATGCATTCATGCACTTTTCATTTCGTACCTGTTTCGTAAAACATAACGGTATGATAAAGAGGCGCTAATTTCTCTAATAAATGTTGAATCATTTCGAGTTAAACTTGAATCCGTACATTGTTTAAAAATCAAAGTCAGATGGCTTCACGTGAGCAACTTCATACAAAAACTTTGAGCTAAATCAATCTGAAAGATATTAGGGTGATTGAGGCTTTATTCCAAACTCGCTGTGGTATTCAGAAAAAAAAACGTTTGTTTTTACATCCATCCAAAAGAACAAATTAAAGTAGGCATTTTGCTTCAATATATTTATATTCTTCCTTTACTTGGCTGAAAATAAGCTCAAAATAATGTAAGTAATAACATTTCAAAAATAATTTCAGCTTGTCTTTAATTTAGGCCAGTCGCCACAACTAATGGAAAATAAGGGTGATTTACTTATATATTTGCATCTTTTCTTTTATTTACTTCCATTCAAAATGAAAAATGAAAATGGAAGTATCAAAACTTCTCTGTGATTATTTCCTTCCTTTGATTTCGGCCCATTGATGCAATGTATTCAAAGTGAATATATCGTTTCACATATGTCTTTATAAATCTTGTATTTTTCTACCTTTAGTTCAATATCAAACAAATAGTGCAAGTATAAAAATATTTTATAAGGGTGTGGGTGTGAGGTAGAGGTTGAGAATGATGGTGTTCTGTTTACCCCCACACCCTCGCTATCAAGCTTTGAACGTAGAATAATGTACCCTATTGATGTTATAATAAACACTTGTTTTGGAAGCATAGAATAATCTACTCTTAGCCTTGGATTAACCAACGCTTTCCTTCAACTTCTCCCTAGCCTGAAAGGATAGGATTTAGAAATCGTAATTCACCGGTGTCTCTCTGTAACAATGGCACACATGACCATTTCTATCGCACAAACGACCATTTTTATGGCACAGAGTGCATCGTTACGGCATAAACCATGGGTGGAGGCATGACATGGTCACGTGAAACAGTCCGCTCTGGAGATGGGGTCAGTGGAGGGACGAGTTGATTCCCCTACGGAACTTTGAGCTAACCATCACGAAATTTCTGGACGATATATTTTTGTGGCTAGGTAAGACTCAGTTTCTCCCCTGCTTAAGGACCTTTGCGTCCTATTTTGTCCGTCTTTTCGTCTTCGCTTACAGTGCTTTTACTTGCAATTTTTAATTTCCGTCTAATTCTTACCTCAGTTCCACTTATTCCCACTCCCTTTACAGGTCTGTTTGAAAATATCATTACCGGCTGCTAGCACAAACAACCGATTCTCTGCCTTGCCCATGCATTTGTTCTCCTCAGCACTGTCAGCATAGGGCACAGTGAATCGACTCTCGACGTCGATGAACGTTACTTGTATATTAATTTCATTTCTGATTCTTGAATACTAAACTGTTTTGACAAATCTTTACGTACATTAATCTATCTCTACTCGTTCAATAATGAAACATTCGAACCAAGCTATGAAATGTAACCATTAGAAAAACTTTATATAAATTCTGCATATTCTCCGCAAGGGTTTATAAAGAAAACATTTAAAGGCAATGTTTATTTATACTACGTCTTTTTTACACAGTGCAGCCTCCTGAATTATTCAACATTTTCGTATCTCGCTCTCTTGCTGGATCCGTTGTTCGGTGTGTATGAGCTATTTGCGAGTCTACAAGTCAACAATAAACAAGTTGTATGTAGTTAGTACCCCACCCCATTCGAGAGTTGCATGTGCTCTCACCATGTGACAAATACACACTGCTTTGTCAAGGAGACGATTCTTGAAGGCAACTATGATTTTCATTCTCTGCTTTCGTCATGGAAATCGATTACAACATATACGTTTAAGCATTTTTATTGAAACGAAAGCAAGAAGAAAGATTCTGTGCTCGGTAGTTTTACTTTAGGGTCGCTCCTGGCCACAATTGCCTTGAGAACAACAAGAGCTCTTCCCTGGCCCATTGATTCGATCGCGGCAAGCCTTTACATCGTTGTTACATCTGTTACATTCGGCACCCTCGAACCCAGTCCAACTCCAAGCTGTACATTGGTTTTGCTTGTAACAGGCATCATGATAGTCACAGCACTTGCCATGTGAGCCACAGCTGTCGATGAGAACAAAGCCAAGAAGTGAGTCACAACCATATTTGTCGCGCAATTCCGCTACAGATTTAATAGCAGAACAATGCGAATAGGCAATAAACAATATCAGTAGAAGTGCAGGTAGGACGTTCATCGTTGTTGCTCGACGAAGAAAATGATGACATCAACCAGTGAAATTTCCGATGCGAAAAATGTTTCGATTCCTAATCTTCACATATGCATCTCTTATATATACATCTTTTATCTCTGCAAAACTCACTGCAGATAAAAAAAGCTCTTCAGCAACATATGATTTTCACTATCTATTGATTTTTAATACTTAGGATATCGTGAATTTGCATTCACATTCACACGAGTCAATATTATTTTTGCCCATACAATGATGCTGATAACTGCCTCACAGAGTAGATTGAAAGTGGCTTTTTACTTCCGCTCTTGATCGTTTTTAGGTCAATCTTTGTCTAATCTTTTGATCACAAATCAACAATTCATGACAACCCGAGTGTATTAAGAAGTTATGTACATATTGGTTTAGGTGTGGGGTGTATCTGTGTCTCTGCGGATCGCCTCTCACACTTTACGCATACCAGTTGGACGAGGGCATATAAATTCAAAAACTGATCGATCTATCTCTTAACAAAAAGATAACTTCGATCGACTTGTGTCAACTTTTTTCCCAACAACTGACTAAGTCGAAAATTAAATAATATATATATATTTGAATGTGGTAGAATTAAAATAATCAAAATAAATGCAGTTTAACGCAGGCGACGGGTTTCGTGATGTTTTATTTAATACTAAAAACACTCATCAGGGCTCTGCATTCACACGTATTAAGCAGAAAAACCAAAAATTCAAATTAGTAAAATTTCAGTAAAGAATAGATGTTAGGGTCTGATATCTTTATCTATATGTTGGAGGTCAACACTCTCTTGTTTGCTTGTTTCCTCTCGTTCTTCCCCCTTTTGTTTATTGTTATGAAGTAGTTATGTTTTTACGTAAACAAAGATATCTCAGGGAACTCAAGACGTAACAATAGGATAAAAAAGATAAATGAAAGTAGCATGATGAGGGATAACAGATTATAATGGAAAATTCTTTTAGATTTGATAAATAGCAATGATTTTTCGTCATATCAAATGTTGAAGTTGTTCATTTGTTCGATAAATTTAGGGAATTTTTCTTCTAGATGACCATTTTGTGTGATGAATACAATTTACTTGGTGGAGTTGTTCAAAAAATCATTTTTTTCAAGTCTTATTAGATATTATTTGCTTAGTGATAACAGAGCGCTCTTCGAAATCTGGTATTAGTCATCTATGGAGTATAATGGATTTGCGATCATTTTAATCCGTTTAGATTGTATTAATATGGGTTTACGATTATTATAGCCTACTTAGATTACAAGTAATGTACCACTTCCATGAGCATCAATGAATTGAATCCTGAAAGCAGAGAATACAGATTATAAAATCATACTGTCAAAGACAAAATTGTGCCCAAGATCGGGGAATTTTTTTAATGTGCATGTGAGTGTATATGTGCTTCAGAAAAAATAACTCCAATTATTCAAACTACGCATTTCGACTATGGTTTGATGTAGTCATCATCAGGCATCTTCGGAACTAAAAGACTACATGAATATTGTAACGATTTATAAGATAAGAGATACTACTTCCAACGGAACTGTCTGATCGTCTTTTATTCATATCATCGATCGCAAAGAAAATATTCAAGACACTGGCTTTTTACACAATTGGAGCGAAGAACACCAAGAGGGAAAGAATACAAGAGAAAAGCAAACGTTGGGTGTGGGTGTTGACTAAAATAGGAGTGATTCCCATATCCATATCGAAAATCTGACACGTACACTAAAAAAGTTATCAGTAATCTATTCCGTCTACTGAAAGCACGGTCTTACGCCAAAACGAGTAGATCGCGTTCGTTCGTTCGTCCAAGAGGAAAGCAGATGCATGAACTCAACTAACCTCCAGCAATATCTGTACGGATAGGTTTTTCCAGAGGTTTTCGGAATCAGGAAAATCGAATCCGACGTCAGAATTTCAAAAAATTTTAACCCTTCATTTTTTTAAGAGAGAGACTTTTTTGAAAAAAAAATAGTTTCTTATAAGGATTGACCGAAGGTAATCAGGGTCGGGGAACACGATGGCGTTGTTGTTTTTTTCAAATTTTGTAGTTCAAGCAAGTTTATAGTGCATTAGGAACTAGTTAGATTGTCCGATTTTCGTGATAGGAATTCTTTGCAGGGAAATATTTTTAGGATACCATTCGATGATGTTTATAGTGTTAGATGTATCGTATGGTTATGTGAGATCTTATTACGAATAAGCTATAGGCATCTTGCGATGGAATTGATTCTCAATTTGGCAAAGACCAGCCGCTCACCTGTACTAAGACGTTGAAGGCTTTTTTCAAAGTCTTCAGTTTATTCTGAATATGTCAACTTTTATTGTAATAATAATAATAATAATAATAACATCTCCCAGAGGCTTATCGCCCGTTGGGGCCGGCGCTAAAGGGTCCACAAGCAGCCAGGTTCTATCGTGTTTTTCTCTTTTACAGACGACGGTATCTGCACCCCATTCGTCCAACGCTTCCCCCGTTAATGATTATGGGTTGGCGATCATCATAGGATCACGTGGCCGTGACATCTATGTTGAAGTTATTGTTTTGACTCTGCATACTGACTAATGATATAATCGATACGCTATCGGATGAGTCATCCGGAACAATTAGCCGTTAGTAACTTGTTCAGGGTTATTCCATGGTTGGTGATACTGTGGTTTGAACACAGTACCTTGTGAATATGTGTCGAATAACATATCCACTCAACCATGGCGGCTAACTTTTATTGTAACACGAATAATTTATTCAAACTTAACTTCTAGAATTGTAGATTAGAACATCTACGAACGGACGCGAACTGGATAAGTACTCGGGAATCTTGTCTTATTCTTCTCTAAATTATGAGAAATTTATCGCATATGTAAAGGAAACTGGATTAAATTAGTCGCACAACTGTTGTTTTCTGGTTTTTTGAAAATTCTCTTTGTTTTCATCTAATAATTATAGAATGAGACGAAGCTTTCAATCAATCATGCCGTGTTTAAAAGGATCACGTTCACCGCATATCTGAGACAAAACTAGTGGGGGCGACTAGTCGTGAGTGGCTCCCCAGAGGGATGCCGACGAACGACTAGCCGCTCAGTTAGAAATCTGTTGTGATTATACGACTACAGACCTTGTAGACTTATAGAATAGTTACATGTTGTCTCGATCAGAAACGTTGAAACAATTTTCGAAAATGGTAAATATCTTCAAGTTCTTCCGAAGAGAGGTCATGAAATAATTGCTCAACTGGTGTGAAATATTTGAAATTTATATTTGTCGTGATTATCTTAATAAGTTTAGTTTTTTTCTGATTGCGAGTGGATTTGATTCAAAAGATGTAAATCTTAGATTCATCTATCTGTGAACGTACACCCAGGAATGAATATATGCATTCTAGACGGCAAACTCACCGAAACAAAATGACCCCACATGAGATTGAGCAAAAATGAGGACAAATCTAATCGAAATCGAGTTAGAAAAAGTCAATTTAATTTAATCTCTGATCTACTCGTGCAGATTCATGTTAACTATCTAGTTCATAGATCAGTTTGAGTTGTAACTTTACTAAAATGGAGCATTTCGGTCATAACTCTTCTGAATGGGTCTTTTTCTTCACTCCGTGAGCAAGCTGATCAAAAGTTTTCGAAGCATAGGTTGAGCTGTAGCAGATCGAGTGCTCTTAACTTCACCATTGCCATATAGTATTAGTAAGTACTACTTAAATGCTGTTTTGCTGGTGATACTTCCTGCCAAGTTTTCTATTAATGCTCGGTCATCAATTGTGTTTTCCATGAAAATCATTTCGAAGCTACAAAATGTGAAGTCTCTCGGCTAGATCGTTTTAGATAGCTACGTTCTACATGACTACATTCTTTCAGTAGAGGGTTAACGACGCTAACGTCGCGTTAACTTGTATATTATCACACTTCTATAGCATACATTGTATAAGTTAAAAATTGAGTATCTCCCTCGTGATAAACAGAGACAGCTAATATATTAGATTTGGCAGTTTCTCGGTGAGAGTGTACACATTTTACACTAATACCCAGATCAAACATTTCGGTCATCGGATCTCATAGGATACTTAAGGGAATATGCTGGAAAGTCACTATATTCTGCAGGAAAACACGGGACATCGCTGGGACATGAAAGCAGTATTCCGATCAAAAATACGGCCGGACTTTACTGGAGAATCCCTGCCAAGTTCCGGTGCTTTCCGGCAGGAATTAATCGGAATACTACTTCCACAAAATCAACGAAACTACCCGGAACCGGCCGCTTCCAGGCCGGACTGTTTGACCTGGGTATGTTCAATTTCTATTACAAACAAAACAAATCCTTTCAGTGTTAGTTTAATTAAACATGCTACAGTGGCAAACAATAGCAGCTCAGATCTTAGGACGAGATTTTGTCACTAATCAAACAAAATGTCTAAGGGCAAGTACGAGCGGTTTTTCTTTTCGTCTGTTAATCTAGGTTTTTTGCTTTTTTCTTTCATTTGTTCTATTTCCAGGAATGACACCAACCAGAACTCGAATACTGATACTTCATTCATGGAACTTGGTAAGTGATCAAGAATTGCAAATTCGAATTGCATTTCGAGCACTATTCTTTATTAGATGGACTTATCCAGAGCAACTGGACTGAAGTCGTCGAATAATTCGAGAAGATGGATTTACTTGAAAAACTTTTGCGTGGTATTTATAGTTATGATTTTGAACAACCGACTGCTCTTCAACAACGTGCTACCAAACTTTGCATTTTGCGTTAGTATCTCTATCAAGTTATTGTTTCTTTCATTAATATTTATAATTAGTAGCAATTACTTTCATTATTATCATATAGGTCATGATGTCATCATCAAAGCAAAGGCGGGTGCATACAAAAGAGTAGCATTTGCTATTTCAATATTGCAACAAATCGATGTTGAAATTAAGTATTGTTAAGCTTTAATATTAGCATCCACTCGAGAATTGACCCAACAAGTATATTTGCTCGGATCAATAGTGTTTCGAATTGCAAACAATTGTTTTTCTTTTTTTTCTTATATGTACAGATTCAAGAAGTAGTTTTAGCCCTGGGCAAGTATATGAGTGTGACGGGTGTGACACATCATGTTTGTATTGGTGGCACATATGTTGGTGTCAATATGAAACGTCTTGAGGCAGGAGTTCAAATTTTTGTCGGTACACCAGGACGAGTTTACGATATAATTTTTCTCATGTGATTCTAAAGAACAAATCCATGATGTGATTGAAATCATGCCACAAAATACCCAGATAATTTTTCTATCAGCTACTTTCCCGAGTAACGCACTCGAAGTAACAACAAAATATATGAAGGATCCAATTAAAATTGTTGTCACCGAAAAAGAATTAACACTCGAAGGCGTTCGTCAATTGTATGTTACAGTCTCACGTGAGGAAGTAAGACGAATAAAAGAAAAATTAACATCATGTAAGGGTTGATTTGTTTCGTTTAGCTGTAATTTAGGAATCGAAATTCGATGAACTTGTTGACTTATACGAAATGATAGCCGTGCAATGTATTATATTTTGTAACACACGTCGAAAAATCGATTGGCTAACAGAAAAGATGCGCTCACGAAATCTCGTTGTATCATCCAGGGTAAGATAGTCGTTGGTATTTTGTTTACCTTTTTTGGTTCCTACATTAAACATAATTAGAGTGAACAAATGCTGATCAACAACTCTATTGGTGCTTTGTTTTTCATTCTAGCATGGCGATAAGGACCAAATAGAACGTGATGATACCATGAAAGAATTCAGAATAGGTTCTACTCAGGTTTTAATTACGACTGTTTTAAGTGCACGTATTACTGATGTACAAAAAGTTAGTGTTGTTATTAATTATGACTTCCCAAACAATCGTGAGGATTATATTGACCGGTAAGATTGAAAATCGTTGAGTTACATTTTTTTATTTTCTTTTTGCTACGTTTTAAGTGTTGGCCGAAAATGTGTCACGGTTAATTTTGTTACAGATGAGGATCGAGTAATGTTACGCTATATAACATGCGGTACAAAAGTCTTTGCAATAATGTCAAACGGTGTTAGACCATGTTGAAGACTTCTAATTCAGCTGAGTGTTTTCTTGTCGGAAAGAGCCGTATCTGAACTTCAAATTTTGTACCAAACATATTTTTCTAGGACGAAACTGGAAATGAGGAAAAGCCAAAAACTAAGCGCATGAAAAACGTTCTTGCACTTCACCATCCAGCAGTATCATTTTCTATTTGTATTGGATTCGTTTAAAGTGAAAAGGAGAATGAATAAATCACGACCAATGATGAATTGTGTAGCATAAAGGATCCTCTTTTCAATGGTGTATTGAAAGTTAAATTTAGTTTCAGTTTTTGTACTGAAATATTGTTTTTTCGAGACAGACTGACAAATTTGGTCGTTCTCACAATGTGACCATTTTGAAACTGCAAAAGATATTTGTTAAGTTATTTTTACTGTCAAGTTTCGAAGGTCAGATATATGTGTCGCAGAAATAAAGTGAAAAAATAGAGTTTATACATGGCTCCTGGTAGATATTCTTGGAAATTGATAGTTTTTTTCAATGAGTGTTTTTTTTACAAAAATTTCGTTTTTCAATTCTTTTTATGAACAACTCAAGAATAAATCTAAAAATCTTCCACAAGCTGGCATCGATAGAGTTTTTGAAACTCTACATTGTGATGTATGTTTTGTTAAAATTCTACTCATGTAATCTAAGATATTTTTTCGGAAATATCGACTTTTCCAGGTTGGAGGAACTTTCTTCATGCGTTTAGTTTTTGACTTTTTCTCATTTCCAGATTCGTCCTAGAAAGATGGGTTTGGTACAAAATTTAAAGTTCAGACACTGCTCTTTCGACAAGAAAAAAACTCAGCTGAATTAGAAGTCTCCAACATGGTCTAATAGCGTTTGGTATTATTGCAACAACTTTTGCACCGCATGTTAGAACAATTTTACAACACACAAATAGGAGTGCAGGTGTGAACAACATAGGGAGGAAACTCCTCCACGTCCTCAAGAATTATTTTATTGCAATCTTTCGCGTTCAATGTAATGTTTTAGTGATACTTAATGAATATTACTATTCTCGATTGTTTATTCTAGCATAATCGTATGTTTCTTGATTTTTTTACAAAAATTCTATTTATCAGATCAGCAACTATAAAAATATTCTAACATTAACTGGAGCGAGGAAAATATTTTCGATTTTTAAAACCAATTCTATATTTAGCACTGGGTTTGGTTACACTTGAATTCGATTCTAATGAATTCGGTATAGTTTCACCCCATCCACTATCCAAATTGATATTTGAATCATAAACGACAAATTCGTTCTCGACTTCTACTGGTGAAAAATCATTTCTCGTCAAAGATTGAAGAATATAATTATTTGTAACATATGCATTTTTTCGGCCAGTATGAAACAATCTCATTGTAGCAATATAATACCTTTCATAGGTTGATTTCGTTTCAAATGCATTAAATGCTAAACAAAGATTTTGTTGTATACATAATGCGTTTAATCTACCTAATTGTGATTTTGAACTAACATATATTTTATAACGAAATTCAAAATAATTTGATTTTTGACTCCAAAATAATTTATCAACATTTTCCTCTGGTACACCCTTATGTGATGCTGAAGATTTAATTTTCAATCTAATAATATTCAAGTCTTTAAATTGTAAATCAGCGAATATTTTCATTTGTTCAACTATTTCAGGAAATGTTCCAACATGAGATGATGATGTCATTAACTGTTGTGGATTATTACCATTTTGCAGATGAATAAATATCGGTTTTAATTTATTTATTTTACAGACATTTAACAACTTTTCCATCTCACGATGATCAACAGTAATATGAACTTTAAATGCATCATCAATAGTATTGGTTTTTATAAGTTCATTTAGTTTTGTTTTATATTCTTTGCCTTTCGTTTTAATATAATCAACAACAAAATCAATATCTTTATTATTTTCTATGTAGATATTTTTCATCTCGAATAAAACATAGGATGCACGTTTAAACTCATATATTGATTTTGTTCGAATTAATTGTTCACCAATATCTAAATATCTTACACCATGAAATAAATATTTCAGTACTCGATCTTCATCAAGCGTTGTCGTGGGAATAGCATCACATACAAACTGATCGATTGTCAGATTAGTCTTTGATCGTTGTTGATAGAAATATGAACCATTTTGCTCATTATCAATTATATATTTAAAACTTTCATTATTTTCATAAAATGCTACTTGTTTGATTCGTAATGGATTATAATATTTTGATAAATAAATTGTTTTATAATCAATGTTATTTCTTAAAATAAATTCACTGGGATAAAATAGACATTCAACAGCTAACATATAGTTTTTTTCTAATAATAATTCAAAATTTTGACACGTATGAATAGTTACATCATACTTATTTATTCGATGCAATTTAAATGAATGAAAATAATCAAAATCTTCCTTGAATCTTAAACGTTTACCTTCTATATTCATTATAATAAGAAAATCACGATCAGATTTTTCATGATTCGTCCCGTAAACCCATGAACCATAATTAAAAATATTCGTTATTTGATTATCATCCAATTTCAGTTCCTTTATAATAGACGATACGATTCCTTCCATGGATATTGTGGCTATAATGAAAACCACTTTCTCCTAATATATATATATATATCATATCAGCCATAATGATGCAACGATGGCAACTATAAATATATATAGATGACGTGTTGTCATAAATATGACATCATTGTTATGCCAATTCTACATTTAGGTGCGATGACAAACTCCGCTAACAAGCGTTTTACATTGAAAATGAATATATTTGCATACAGCGCATTTAAAGAGAATTTCTTTTGTTCGTGCATAAAACATCCAATCGACTGCTGACACACGTTTTTGTTGAAATTTGCTTTTTTTGTTGTTGCAGAGAGTATATATTCATATCCTCAATATTTCGAATACCTGTATGTTACAAAATGCTTGTAATATTTATGAAAGCTGAGCTACACGTATATAATAGAAATAATTTCTACATGAAGCACTATAATAGCTACTCGAACAATTGGATTTCGTAGAGCTCGTGATTTAGTGGCCTGCTTTGTTAAGCTCATTTCATACAAGTTTCGCCCGTAAGATCTGCTGTAATACTAAGTTATTACACTGTCAACAAAACTATTAAAGTATTTCTACAACGATCACTCATTCCTCAATAATCTATTCCGATACAAAATATATTAAATCAATGTTTTGAATGTCGAGTTCAAACTATAATCCAATGTCGACCAAGCCAAAAAGAGACAATAATGGCTGATATGAACGTAAAAATACCCGACGTTACCATTAAATAGTAGCTATAGTGGTTCGGAATGTGAACTGAAAAACTTGTATAAGCAGCAACGATGCAGACACCAGCGAGTGTAAAAAGAATAATCGCTGATAGTTTAATCCCACTTGAAAAACTTGTTATTAATCGTGTAGCAAAAAGTATCGTAGAGATAATAGCTAGTAGAAGGAAAAATATTGCCATGAAAGATAATACTATTGTGGTAAGATGTACTTTTCCATAGTCTTTTATTAAATGTCTTCCAAGCCAACCTGGTGCAGCGACACTAATGATAACAAATAAAAGTGCTAGACAACCCAACACTACTGCCCATAACCAAAGTCGATAATCTGAACTTGTACTACCACTTCGAATAATCGTAGTACTTTTAACGACTCGTGTTCGAGGCATCTTGATATATCGTTTGAATGTCTAAAAAAGACTCAAATCTACTATAAGACTTTCTTGGATCATAACCCTGCCCAGGAGGATCATCCTGCCGTCTGAAAGGCCATCGGAAACGGCCTGAAACGGCTATAAAACGACATAAAACGGCATTAATTTCCACCCTATTTCGCCGTAATCCGTCAGCTCGTTTTACGGGCCGTTTTTTTTGCTAGTAAACGGCCATCGCTTTTAACACTATTCTCTTCGTTTTCCGAGCTGACGGGAAACGGCGCCGTTTTTTAACGTTTTACATCGTTTTTATGCCGTTTCAGGCCGTTTTCTTTCACCTGGGTATGAGCGAAGATGCCTTGGGCATGTTACCTTTATAACAAAAACTCGAGTTTCTTATCATGTCTATTTGCTTTTTCTAATAGTGACTGTGTCGAACAGCACGTGAATCAGCCTTTTATTTATCATCAAGTCAGTATTCATGAAATGTGGGATGTGAGTGTGGATGTACAAAAGAAAAAAGTATTGTGATAAAGAGCAACACCAACAATCTTTCTGTTTTTCTCTAAAGAAATAATAAAAAATCTGTTGTAACTTTTATCGAATAGCTTATGCTTGTTGTCCATATATATATATATATACAAAAACATTTTATTAATTTAGATCATTCAGTATCAACCTGAAAGTAAAGTAATATCTGCTTATCTTGGTAAACATTAAAAATAAAACCAGAAAAATCAAAAGAACTTCGCAAAGAATGCTGAAATAGAACAATGTTTGTAATAATCAATCGAAATGTTTCGGTAGCAAAGGATGATTTTGAATCAAACGATAATGAGGCGGTTCGCCTATGTTAAGCGTTTTACAAGCTAAATTTCTATCATAAAATCGATCGGAAAGATCAATATCTTGTTCGATGTTGTAATCAGCATTCTTTTTTTTCCATTCAACAAGACACTGTTGTACATATTCACACAAGATGGTTGCATCGATGCTATATTTTTCGTGTAAAAAATTTGCCATAGGTACAATATGCTTCATATATATGGTATGATGCAAATAAAGTGTGATTAATTTCTTATCATCATCTACAAGATTCCTCAATAATTTCGGATTGATATCGTTGGCTAAGGGCACGTGAATACCACGCAATTCCAATTTTTCCAAGTGTAGTTTTTCACTTTCAGCATCTCGTTGTAAAATACCAGCGAAAGTTTTTCGTTTGAAATCAAATAGATAAATCACATTTTGCGTATGGGAATCCGGTATCCAACCTAATCTAATCAGATCCAATTGCGTATGGATCATTGCTCGAGATATTTCTTTGAATAGATCCATGCCGTTGAAACCAAATTCAATCATACTTTCCATCAAAGTTTTACCAGGTGTCAATATATTTCGAGTTGTTAATGAGCAAGCGGTGATTGGAGTGAACTCGCTTGGTATTCCTTTTTGTGCGGAATTACTAATTGCATCCTGTAGTCCATCTCGAATCAAGAATGTGGTTCGATCGTCATTATTTGCCTGTGACATATATTGAGTTAGTAGCACCCACAACTTTTCAGGTAGTAATTGTTTCTGAGCTAATTGTGAAACAATATTACTACTGTGCATTATATCACGCGCTAGGATCCAATCAATTGTTCGTATTTCGGATGTAATTTGAGCTGGAAAACTTGTTTTTATCTGATAATCACTCAGTATTGGTACAAGTGAACGTTTCGATAGGAGAGTAAATGTTTCCAAACAATTATCGGTTGTCGGCGATAATTGACCTTCATTGATAATCCTATGAGCATAGGGATGCATTGGAATAATACCAGTTTTGATAAAAGCTAAAGAACTCTCTAATCGTTCCGGGATCTTTCCAATCGAGCGAATTTTCGTTGGGTCATATTGCACCAGCAGTAATTTCGATGTACCATTCAGGAATGCAACGGGTATTGGGTGATATTAAATGATGCTCTCATCTTTACCAAACATCACATTACTTAGCGGATTTCCTGTTGAACCATCAACATTACCACAAGTATCGGAGAGTATAAATGCTTCGCGTTGTGGTAAACGACTGAATAGATTTGCTAATCCAGCATACTGTCGAATTTCTTCAAATTCAAATTTTGTCTCTAATATTCTCTCAAGTACTTCCAGTAAGACAGGACGCTGAGTTTTACATTTTTCATAAATTCTTTCCAAGTAGACTGTCGATAATACATTATGCTCCAGCAGAGTTAGTTGTTGTTTATTGAAGCCCATAATTACAAGATCACTGATATTTTCCAAACACTGCTTGTTTATAAGAATTGATTTTGGCTCAGTAATGAAAATCTGACTAGTAAAAGCATTCCATTTTGCCTTTGCTCGAATTTCGATTGGAGGTTGTTTTTCATTCTTCAAATATGGTGCCAGAGCTATTAAATAATCTACTTCGAGTTGAACTGAAATTGCTAATTCATTTATCAAGCCAGCAATAAACGGAGTCACTGCAATTTGAAATGCAATCTGTTCAGCTTCACTCAGCATAGATGATAATTTATTTTCTAGAATTAAACTAAAATTAAACGCTTAGAAGTTATGCATGGAGAATTCTGTATTAAAAAGGTTATATTAAAAACAACAAAATACGCGTGTTTATATAAATATTACCTTTGACCACCCGAATACTTGTCGTACGATAATCATGGAATTGCTAGAATCAATTTATGATTTGAAATAAGGCGATAATGAGGAGGAGTTCCAATTTTTAAAGTTTTGCAAGCCAAATTCCTTTCGTAGTATCGACCAGTAAGATCAATCTTATGTTGTATATTTGCATTTATGTTCTTTGCTATCCATGATGTCAAGCTATTGTGTGTAATTGTTTGAATATCGGTCACCGATATATGATACTTCTTGTTTAAGAGTCGTGCCAACGGTTCAATATGCTTCGTATAAATCGTATGATGAAAATAAAGTGTAGAAATAATGATTCGCTGTGTTGATTGATGTTCAGATTCTGTCGGTGGTACCGAAGGAAATATGAGCGATGCCAGCTTTCCTCCGCTAATTATTTTATTTTTTTCACATTCTGAATCTTTCAGGAGAAGACCTACAAAACACTTTCGATTCATATCTAATAAATAGGCTATATTTTGTGTGTGAGCATCAGGTACCCAACGAATAGCTATGAAATGTAGTTGAGACCCAATGATGGCATTTGAAATATCTCTAAACAAGATTAATGGATCGAAGCCAAATTCAACTAAGCTTTCGAATAATGTTTTATCAGGCGTGATAATATTTCTAGTAGTGAGAGCACATGCTATAATAGGCGTGAGATGTTCAGGTACACCTAAAACATTTCCGTTACAATATGCATCTCTGAGACCACCACGAATATAAAATGTTGTATTATCATCGTCCTTAACTTGACTGGCGAATAGCGTTGGTAATACCCAGACATTGTCTGGAAGTTTTTCGAGAGTTGCCAATTTTGAAACGATTCGAGCACATTCAATGGTATCAAGAGCTGTTTTCCAATCAATAACACGATTTTCTGATGTAATTTGTGCAGGAAAACTTGTTTTGATTTGAAAGTCACCATCGAATGGAATGAAACTACGTTTCGATAGTAAAACGAATGCATCGATCGAATCCTGAACAGCCGATTGTTTACCAGATATATCGACAGCATATTTGTTCATCGGGATTTGATGTTTGTCTGTATAAAATTTAAATATATTCAAAAGACGCTCTGGAATTGAACCTGCTTCGAGCATAGTGGCATTGGGATGAGAGACAAGTTGAAGTTGAGAAATTCCACTTTGAAAAGCGACTGAAATTGGATGATGTTGTACTGCGCCAGATTTTCGACCAAACATAACATTTTTTATTGGATTTCCAGTTGATCCATCAACATTGCCACATGCTTCAGTAAGAATAAGTGCCTCACGTGCTGGAATGCTTGCTAATAACATGGCGTATGCTCTTGGTTGTGTCCGATCGAAATTCGACGGAAATGAAGAGCCGAGCAAATTCGCAAGAGATTTCAATATTTTCGGTTCTGATGTTCGGCATTGTTCATAAATCGTTTCGAGATAGTCCGTTGCTTCTATGTTTTGATTCAATATCGAACACTGCTCTTCGTTGAATCCCAATAGAAATAAATCAGTCATCTGTTTAACAGGAGTTTCATCGATCATAATAGTGTCCCATTCGAAGTTTTCTACTTCATTTGAGAATAGATTCCTTTCACACTTGGCAGTGATCGTATGTTGCACTTTGGAATCATGAGCATCTGCAATAGTGGCTATGATCGTATTTTCATTTGACCATTTTATGTGAACAGCTTTTTCATTTATAAGAGCTTCAAGTAAATTTGAAACAGTTTTTCGTAGACCGATTGACATTTTTCTATAATAAAAAATTAATTTATCCTAGAATTACTTCGAGTATAGCACTTATTAAAATTGTTCTGCAGCACTGCGGGGCATACTTTTTTTCGTCGTTAAGCAGAAAAAATTATTTCGAGGCTAACATGGAGGCGTAACAGAACGACATGCTAGCACATTAGAAATATAATTTATACTCTGATGAGAATATATGAGTGACATGTAAAGAAAAAAGTACTTTTTTTCTATATATATATAGAGGCGCATCCATCTTGAGAGAACGATTAAAAATAATGACTAACTGTCAGCATGAGTCATATTTTTTCATCGTTTTTGTCAGGCACTGTGAAGCCTACTAATATGTTTAAAAAAGACCTATATTTGAAGTTTTATTTTATATTTAATATGCATTTTCAAGACAATGATTACAATGATCTATCTCATTTTAAATAGAGACATAAGAAAAGTATTACAATGAGTTGAGAATTTAGCATTCTGTGCTATCGTCATATTTTACTACAAGAGAAAAAAAGCATTAATGTATATATGTTGAGGTAGAGAAACAGAAACAGAAAAAGTAGTCACTAACAAGTACATTTAGTATACTATGTAACACGTTCGCTAGATGTCGATCATAACAAAGAAACAGAAAAGAGTGAGACGTAAAAGAATATTAATGTATTGAAATAGGTAAACTATCAACGAACATACTATATATATTGACCTTGAATGAATAGAGTAGCAGTCATAGTGGTGTTTTTTAGCCGAACATGTAGTCAAATAATAATTCATTGAAATGTAGAAAATAGATGAGAATAGAGAAGAACTACAGTGATGAATCATCTATTTTTGTTTTAAGTAAGACTAAATATATACGTATTCGTTCGATGTCAATTAATAAATTATCAATGAAAGATCCTTTCAAATTATTCATGAAAAACAAAAGAAATCGCATTTCTGGTAGTCCAATACAGCTTGTAGATTCACAAAAATGTTACTGTTTATAAGACACCAAAATAGAGAATGATTGCTACTTTGTTGGCACATTAATGGTTCTTTTTAAAATAACGGGTTAGAAAATATGCAAAATATAGTTTTTAAAAAAAATTGCATTTACCGACCGATTTTAATGAGTATCAAAGCTGAAACTGGAAGCTATATCGTCGTGGGTACTATATAATAATCTTTAAATTGAGAATTTGGATAAAGAATATTTTAGCCGTACTATTCTATTAGTTCGAATATCAGAGAAACATTAATGCGTAAGAATTTGCGTACGAGAACATAATCATTTATCAGCGATGATTATTATGAATTGGTAATTCTAATTAAATCTCACACGTATACTCCATTATACTAAAAAATATTCTATCGAAAATCTCATAAGTTTGAGTAGAAAGTTATAGTGTTTCCTACGATCTCATATAACTCTCACAGTAAGCACATTCGATATAAATCATTACTGCTTTTTACGCTTGAATGGAGCTGAACTGGTATCTCTAACAATGAAAAGAAGATTTCTAAAAAACTGTTAATTTTTATCCGACATTTCTTTATCAATATGAATCAAAATGATGCAATCAGCTTCTTTTCTACTATAATTGGTCATCATTATAATGAAACAACATCTTTTAGCTGTCATCCTCGTTCAGCATCTTTCCGATTTTTTTCTATTTGATCTACAGTACCGGTCGATGACGTTTTTTTTATTTCAACT